TCATAATACACTTCCTGGGGAGCAGTAAGGAATATTTATGGTCATTATGTAAGCACTGACTAAAGACTTATCTAAAACTTGTTAATATAACTATACTAGAGGCCAGTGCACGAATTCATGCACGGGTGGGATCTAGCTGGCTCGCCCCGATGGGGATCCATCTGGCTGGGACAGCTGGGGGGCAGGGCCATGGGCAGTTGGCCAACTGGCTCCGGCCCCAATTGGGGTATTGGGGACCAATTTGGGGCTGGACTGGACAGGGGTGGTGCTGATTGGGCCCGAATCAGGCTAGTTGGCTGCCACAATGAACATCATAGCCACCAGCCACCGGTCATTCCAGTCATTCCACCATTCTGATTGCTGGGCTTTTATATATGTAGGTTGGGAGAATACTGTGATAGATTATAAATGCTTAGTTTAAACCAAGTAAAAAGAAGTGAAGACTATACTCAAGACTTACCTAGAAGCACTAGCTTCTGCAGAGTCTCAGAATGATCCACATAGTCTCGAAGTGTGAATGAATCTGGGGGCAAAGGAGGGTCTGCAATAATCCGAACAGCCTCCTGCTCAGAAATAGGCTGCAAAGGAGATAATGGAGGCACATCATCCAGATCTGTGAAGCCAGCCACATGGAAAGAGAGAAGCAAGTCAGCTCTCCAATCTGTACACTTCAAACTGTTTCTACAACAACTTGCATTCTAGCTATTCTTATGTGTGTATTTAAATGCTTGGCTTCCCTAGTTGGCTTATTTATAAATCTTGGGATCATTTCAAGATTAAACATCTAAGAAGTACAAATATTTCTACCTTCTAATAGGAAAGGTTAAGACCATTTAGATAAGAAATTTATTGGAAAATTTCTATTCCATAAAGATGAGTCCTTCCCCTTTCCTTCACTTTTAATCAACAGATAAGTGATTCTAGTTCACCCTTGATTCTGAGGTTTTAGTCTTAAACAATTATGGAAGATACTGGAAATTATAACCTAAGAAATAAGGACTGATTTCTTTTTGCCTCTAATCATCACACTTTCTAATTTCATATAGCCAGTCTCTTCTCCTGGCCTCCCAATCTCTTCTCCTCTCCCTCCCCCCCTTTGTCTTGCATATTCTTCTTAACCTAATATCTCATTTGCAGTGAAATATTCTTACATACAAATATTCCTAGAATAGGAGTAGCAGGAAGGAGAAGACTGACTATTGGTTGAGTGTGGTAGTCATTACATAACTAAATGCATATGTTAAAATTCATAGAACTATATACCCCCAAAAGGATACATTTTTATTGATATAAATCATACCTTAATAAACCTAATTATCTGAAAATTTTTTTTTATAAATAAAGTATTTAGGAAGCAAATGTTGTATACAGAGCTATAAAATAATTTTATACATATTACCGTACAAACATTTTATCTTAGTAAAATAGAGGCAAAGTAGAAGTAACTAGAACTGGCAATGTTATTTTTCTTGCCTGGTACGAAATATGACTTGCAGTAGACTAAGCCCATAAACAGGTAGCTTATTCAATCTACTAGTGGGGGCAGAAGGGACTTTTCAGAATTACCTTCTAGAGACAGCTCAGAATCAAAGTTGGGTGTCTTCTGTGGCTGCTCACTCACGGAAGGAAGCATAGTGCTTTGGGCAGAATCAATCTCCTGCCCACTTGATTTGGTACACTGGGAGCTACTATTCCATTTGGAGGAAGTCCTGAAAGTCTTCAGTCCCCACTGGAGAAAGCCACTGTCAGAGGACACCTGCGGCTGAGCAGAAAGTCTATGCAACAATGTTTGTCCTGGTCTCCCATAATGACTTCTGAGTTGTGCAGCAGTAATTAAGCTGTTCAGTTTAATTGAGTTCAACCATCTGGGTATCTGTTGGGCCGACAGGGCCATTTTTCTTAAAGCAGCCTGCAAAAGATATATGAATAACCATTAAAAAAAAAAGAAATGTACTTTACTTAAATGTTTAAAACAATATTCAGACAATCAAAAGATAAACTGGAAACTTTTTTTTTTTCTCAAATTAAAGGGTATTTAATAAATCTAGGTGACTAAAATAGTCAGATGTTTCTTAAACACAAGAAAAGTCAAAAGCAAGGTAGTCTGATTTCCAAACCAAAAGACAGGAAATTCTAACCTGGAAAAATAAAGTTATGCTTTACAATTTAAAAACAATATGCCACGCCAGGTATAGCTCAGTGGTTGAGAGTCAACCCAGGAACCAAGAGGTAACCAGTTCGATTTCTGGTCAGGACACAAGTACAGGTTGCAGGCTAGATCCCCAGTGGGGGACTTGCCGGAGGCAGCCAATCAATGATTCTCTCTCATCATTAATGTTTCTCTCTCTCTCTCTCCCTTCTTCTCTGAAATCAATAAAAAATATTTTTTTAAAGTCAAAACTAGAGAGCAAAATTAAAGGAGATACATAAGCAATAAGCAATGAATGCATGTTTATTTATGATGAAAAAAGTCACTTTTAGAAAGATTTTTAAAGTGACTTAAAACTCTCATAAGAAAAGGCTGGTAAAAGGTTGGAAGGAATAAGAATGAATTTATATCTAGCCAGTTTAATTGAAAAGGTAAATCTGATGCACACATAATTTTACTTTAAATAATTTGATATACAGAAAACAAAGCCCAGAGTCTAGCATATGGAAAATGCCTCACAAATGTTACTAGGTATTAGTATTGATCACACAACCAAATATAAATGATTTGAACAATTTATTTTTGCTTTGGTTTTCCATATACTGAAATTCAGCTTGTTTTATGCTCCAAGTTGGACCAAATACTTCAGACTCTAAACTTGTACCAAAATTTCACAGTTGACCATTGAACAATTTGGGTGCCAGGGGCACTGACTACCAGGCAGTGGAAAATCTGGGTATCACCTGAGTCCACCGGTCACATATGCAGTCTCCTAAACATAGTAAGTCTAAAGTGCTTAATTTGAAGTCTCCTGAAAAGGATTTAATAATAAACAAAGCCATACTGTCATTCTGAAATGATTTTTAAAAAGAAATAAGCATTCACTATAGCCTGTGAAATAGATGATTTTTGTTAAATTTTGTTAGGAAATGAGCCTCCAAACCTGTCACCTTTTCCCTCAAATCTATGACATTCATTCTCTGCACAGCCAAGTCCTGAGGCACTAAATCAGAAGCCAGAAAACCCTCCCGAGGCAGGCTACCTTGGCAAGACTGCATTTCTAGCACATTGTCTGGCCCAGATCGGGGTTCAATAACCATTTTTTCAGTAATGGGTTTTTAAAAGGTTACAGGTATAATAAGATGATCCCAAGTCCCCATTTGCTGTAAAATGTTTTGACTTCTAAGTTTATCTAAGAATGTCCTTATATTTCAAAGCAAACTCCTGAAGTCTCCCTCACGCTGAAGCCTTCCCAGGCTCAAATTAATACCCCCTCCTACAATACTCATGTTAATCCTTCTCTTTTTTACTTACTTCATGTCACTGCTGTGTGTATTTCTTAATAACTGATTGGCTGTTCTTTCAGGAGAGCAGCGTCTCCTCTTTGGGTTCACTCTCCTAATGATGATCCCCCAGTAGCCTACGCTGCGCCAATGTTTGCTGGGTTGAAATAAATCAATTGCAACTACGGTTAACTTACCTGCCTACACAGCGGGTAAGACGTTTGCATCTATAGCAATAAAAGTGTAAAATGCTAATTAGACCCACAGCCAAATGACCTTCTGGATGTCAGGAAGCCTCGGTGGCAGGTGGAGGCAGAGGAGATTAGGGGCAATCAGGCAGAGGGGTTAGGAGTGACCAGGCAGGCAGGCAAGTGGTTAGGGGCGACCAGGCAGGCAGGCAAGTGGTTAGGGTCATGAAGCAGGCTAGCAACAATCCCGGATTGTGCCAGCGATGTCTGACAGCCAGTTTAGGCCCAATTCAAATCGGCAGTTGGACATCCCCCAGGGGTCTGTCCGAGATTGCAAGAGGGTGCAGGCCTGGGCTGAGGGATACCGTTCCTCCACCCCCCCATCCCCCGAATTTCTGCACTGGGTCTCTAGTATGTGCATAAAAGCCCTCCTTAGTGACAACAGTCTTTGACTCTCTCATCAGGAATAGTAAAGGAAAAAAAAAAAGCCTTAAAGCATTCTTTTAGCCCACTAAAACATTACAAACTTCTCAACTGTTGGCCTTAGCCCTTCCCTCGGAATAGTCATTGGCACGGAAATGCTGTTCAAAGTTTCCACCTCTGCAAGGCTGACCAGCGACAGGTGAAACCGGGCTGGGAAACCGGCTTCGTGAGCAAACTGCTCCCGCCCTCCCCGGGCCACTTTGGTCTCCTCCATCTGGGCATCCACACCGGGCTTCCGCAGACAGACAGACAGACAGACGGACACTAACCTCCCCGCCCTGCGCAAAGCGGGCTCATAAGATGGTTTTTGGTCTCACCGGCCGCGGGTAAAAACAAAACCATCCTCCATGGGGCCGCCCAAGACCCCAAAAGGCCCCGCGAGGTCAGGCAAGGCCAGGCCGAGGCCGGACCCAAACCCCGGCGGCCGGGGCAGCGCCCTCGCGCCCCACCAGCTCCGCTTTACCTGCGGCGAGGCCCGGCCAGTCCTGCGGTTCGGTTCGGTTCGGTTCGGCTCGCTTCGCAGAGGCGGTCACGGCGGCGCCGGGTCCCACCCGGCACAGCGCTCCGGGTCCCGACAGCCCACCTCGGGCTCGCCGGGCGCAGGGCCCGCTCCGGGAGCGGCCGCGCCCACGTGGGCTGCGCGGGGAGTGGGCGAGACCATCCGGGAGGCAGCGCGGGGGGGAGCGGGCGGCTCGCGGGGGCCCGGAGCGGGCCGGGGCGCGCAGCGTCCCTTCTCCCGCTCGCCACTCCCCTCGCCCTGGTCTTTCGGGAACGTGGGGACATAGGACGCGCACGGAGACGCCGGTCCCACGGCGCTAGCTGGGGCTAAGCCGGCGGCTCCCCCCCCGTTTCCCGCGGCAGAGTGGGCGGTGCCGGCCCCGCCCCCCGGCACCCGTCCTTCCTCCGGCGCTCGGCGGGCCCGCGGCGCCAGACCCGGCTCCGCGCCGTCCGTCCTCCTCGCGCTGCGGCTCGTCACCTCCGGGGCCCCCGCCTGCCAGGGCCGGGGCCGCCGCCGCCGCCGCGGCAGGACGGGGAGGCGGGCCATGGCGTCCTGCGTGGGGAGCAGGACCCTGAGCAAGGACGATGTGAACTACAAGATGCATTTCCGGATGATCAACGAGCAGCAAGTGGAGGACATCACCATCGACTTCTTCTACCGGCCGCACACCATCACGCTGCTCAGCTTCACCATCGTCAGCCTCATGTACTTCGCCTTCACCAGGTGCGGCGGGCGGGCCGCGCGGCGGGGCCGGGGGCGGGGGCCGGGCGGGGGGCGCGCCCCGGGGCGGAGGAGGGGGCGGCGGCGGCGGCGGGGAGCGGCCCGGTGCGGCGCCCGGGGGGCGGGAGGAGGGAGGGGAAGCGGCCCGGCGGCTCCTCGCGCGCCCGCCCCCCGCCGCCCACGCCGCTCCTCCGCCGGCCGGGCGGCGGGCAGCACACACCCCTCCCTGGGCAGCCCGGGCACCGCCACCCCGGGCCCACCCCGGCCCGGCCTCTCCCGCCTCCCCGGCCGGCGCCGCGGGGCTAGCACGACGCCCGTCTCCTGCCGCCGCCGCCCTCAGCGCCGCTCCCCGCTCCCATCACGACGCCGGCCCCCTCCTCTCCGATCCCGGTCTCCACCGCGTGAATCATCACGATGCGCCACTCTGAGGACCTAGCCCCGCGGCGCCTCCCCGCTCCGGGGCCAGGCCCCCGGCCGACCCCTTCCCGCGGAGCTGCTCCGGGCTGGGCACTCCCCCGCCATCTAAAAATAAAAATAAAAATAAATGCTCAGGCGAGGTGCACGCCACCTCCCGCAGGCACTGTGCACGCATCATCCAGCACAGCCTTCTCCAGCCTCACTCCGACACACATCCCTGTGGCCCTTCCTCCTGCAGGCGCACCAGCACCCAATGCACATCCCTGTGGCCCTTCCTCCTGCTGGCGCAGCCAGCACCTAGCACCGCTGGTGCCCGTGGCTACACACACAGACACCATGCACCGTTCATCACCTAACGTACTTGCTCAGTTAGGTGGTGTCTTTCTAATGGAGCAAGTACGTTGTAGATGTTGTAAGGACCCCGGTGCACAGTCAGTGAATGCTATAGAGCAGTGGTCAGCAAACTGCGGCTCCCTCGAGCCACCATTCGGCTCTTTGGCCCCTTGAGTTTTTAGCAAAAGCCAGCGTAGGAGGACCCTAATTAAGTTAATAACAATGTACCCACCTATATAGTTTAAGTTCTAAAAAAAAATGTGGCTCTCGAAAGAAATTGTTGTGCTGTTGATATTTGGCTCTGTTGACTGATGAGTTTGCCGACCACTGCTGTAGAGTGTTAGAACATGAAACCTCACACAGTATAGCACAACTCTTATCTCCCTGAACACACACACACACACACACACACACACACTCTCAGTACTTCCAATAGACACACCTATGCACAGTTGCTACTCAGCCCAGTTCTTGACACGTTGTCAGGAGCATGTGGCCCCTCAGCCCCAGCCCAGGGAACTGATTCGTCCCTATTTCATAAGGACACACAACCCGTGGGTCCAACTGACAAACATTTATATCTTCTGAACGAACATCTTTAAAGCAAGGGGAGGCATACCTACCACACACCACTATGGCTTACAAGACCAACCCAAAGAAATGTGGTTTTGGAGCGAGATGGTTTCAACACTGGGGGTTCTTTCTTATTTTTTAAATATATTTTTATTGATTTTAGAGAGGAAGGGAGAGGGAGAGAGAGAAACATCAGTGATGAGAGAGCATCTTGGACCAGCTGCCTCCTGCACGCCCTACTTTGGGGTTGTGCCCTGACTGGGAATGGAACCATGACCTCCTGGTTCTTAGGTCGTTACTCAACCACTGAGCCACACTGGCCGGACAAAAACTGTGTTCTTCAGTTACTTAACCTTTCTCTAAGCCCCAGGATTCACACCTGTAAAATGGGGATAAAATTCACACCTCATATGGGGTTATCAAGGTTGAATGACTACGAGTGAATGTGCTTAAGCAGATTATCTGGTGCAGGATGCAGTTAATGTCAGTTACTTCTCTTCCAACATTTTAATCCATCAATCAGTGGATCTCAGTCCAGGTCAGCAGAAAATGTGCAGTGATCACAAGCTTTGGGAGAACATATTTTGTGGGCAGGGGTAAAAATGCTAACCGTGCCCTCGCTGGTGTGGCTCAGCTGATTGGAGCATTCTCCTGTGCACTGAGAGGTGGCGGGTTTGATTTCTGATCAGGGCACACACCCAGGTTTCAGGTTCCATATCCGGTTGGGGCATGTACAGGAGGCAACTGATAAAAGCATGGAAAATGTTTCTCATAGCCACATTTCTCCCTGTCTCTCTCATTCTCTCGCCTCTCTCTCCTCCCTTTCTCTAAGTTCAATTAAAAAAAGAAAAAAGAATGCTAAATGTACTATACCATAGGGCAGCACTGAACAACAAAGAATTAATTGCCCTCTATATCCATGTGTGTGTGTGTGTGTGTGTGTGTGTGTGTGTACTCAACACAGGTGCCAATGGTACCTCCCTTGGGAATCATTGCAGATTTTCATAAAACTCATACTAATATTTATTTCTTCCCACATTATACTTATTCCTTACCTCCATAATTCTTTTGACTCTTGGCTTCTATTTTGTTAAGTATTTGCATGAATCTACCTAAAGTTGTAAAACATATGTGACAGTCGCTCTAAATGATTGAAGATGCAGCTACTGTTATTGTAATATCTCCTGCTAATGCTGTGCTGGGGGTAAGACCTGCGCACAGTGTCCAATCTCTCTCTCCCTCTCCCGTCCTCTCTAAAATCAATAAGTGTCCAGGAGCACATTTCTAGCTTTGGAGAGAAATCAGTCTTGTCCTAATTTTGGTTACCCTCAAATATTTCGTCTTATTAACTGGTTTTACAATTTAATAGCTTTGTGGCCACTTAATTTTGCTAAGCTTCAGTTTCCTTTCCAGTGTAAGGAAAAAAATACCTAGTAATACTTCAGGATTATCTGTCGTGAGGGTTCAATTATTTTTAATTTTTAGGTAATCTGTGTTTATCACAGTGCAAATAGTAAGTGCCCAATATTAGCTATTGTTATCATTACATCATTTTACTGTATAATACCTTCTAAATTTTTATTATTATTATTATATTATTTTGTGTGTGATTGAGGATGTAGTATGCTTTCCAGTTGAGAAAAGGGATAAAGGCATTGTAAAAATGGATATTGCTTTGCTTAGATAATACACCTGCCTGTTTCATATTAACTTCAGTTTAACTTCATCTCATATATGGGTTGGCAATTATATATTTTTTAAATAATGAGAAATAAGAATGAGTAGTTTGCTTCAACCTTTTATCTTTAATATTACTCTGGACCCCTTCAGAATAGATCTCCTTCCTCTTTTCTGATACAGGAAGTCAGATTCTTCTGGAATTTCCCTTTTACAGCATATTCTGCCAGAACAGTTGACAAACTGCAACAGTGAACATATATAAGAAATAAATATGAATTTTAACATTTTGTCAAAAGTAAAGGCATAATTTGAATCTCAAACTATGGCCTTTTCTAAAAATTATAATTTTATCTCCCACTAACTTCATAAAGACAGAAATCACACTGAAGAACTAACTAATAATAAATTTCTCCTTAAGTAAAATCATAAGCACCATTAATACAATTAATAATTACTGTATCTTATTCATGTCTTGTAATGATTCCTAGGCCTTCAAGGTGGGACATTACAGTGATAGCTCTGTCTTCCTCCATAAAAATGGAAAGCACTCGTTTGGAGGTGTCTTTGAGCTCGCTGAGTGAACACCACGAGCAAGTCTCACCCTCCCCAGTTAATAAATTTATAGACAAGAAGTTATCCTTGAAATTAAATGGCGGCAGAAATATCAAGGAAGATTGCGGAGCTTCGATTCCTTTATGAAACTTGTGATAGGTCCTTGTGTAGAGATGGTAGCTAGTGGGCAACGGAGGATTGGAATGGTGGTAATATGAGGAAGTGGCATCAGCAGGTTAGAAAGCTGGGAAGGAGGGTGAAGAATGGCTGTGTTCACCAGAGAAAGCAGCTGCTTCCCTTCTTTCCAAGGCACTGCACTATAAACATTGAGTCGTGTACATCTTCACATTACACTTTTGTTAAATACTAAACTTTTATATTGGTAAAAAAAAAAAAAATTTTTTTTTTTTTGGGCCAGCAAATAGAGCATCAGCCTGTGGAAGGAAGGGTCCCAGGTTCAATTCCGGCCAAGGGCACATGCCCAGGTTGCTGGCTTCATCCCCATGAAGGGGGTGTGCAGGAAGCAGACGATCAGTGATTCTCTCTCCTCATTGATGTTTCTGTCTCTCTCTCCCTTCCTCTCTGAAATCCATAAAAATATATTTTTTTAAAGAAGATGGAAAGCTGTGACTTCTTAAATGAAAATTATTTATTCTGTTCTTTTCTGTGATGATTATCTCTGATACCAAGTTCTATTTATAACAGATTTTAGTTGGATGACTGTTCAGTGCAATTCTGTATAAGTTTAAAAATATGTCTTCCAGTTTGTTTTTCAAAGACTCGTAGTGTAAGAGAAGAGGAGACAGAGTACGTGGGGGCTGTCACGTTGTCAGAGAATACTTTTGGTGTGTCATATTACCAGCATGTGATAATACCTGGGTCCTGTCACATGCTTCAGAGGTACAGCAAGAATTTGGGATTGGGATGGATTAGACACCTCGTGCAGAAGTCTGAGACTAGTTTGGATTTGTCAAGTACTTTTGTTAAATAGCAACTAGGCCAACTCACTGTTAAATCCTAGCATTTACATGTCCTGTCCCTATCGCTGTCATTAAAAATAAAATTGAGTCATTCTCCCCAAATTTTACAAAAGCCCATTCTGCTACCTTTTAGAGTCAGTATTTCTCTAACTTAAATGCTTGGGCATGTGTCTTAAAAGTCTGTTCTGTCCCAGTGGGGTCAGGAGAACCTTTGTCTCAAGCTCAGAGTATAGCGATTACTCTGCTTACAGAGGTTGGTAACCTTGAAAATGTTGAATAGCCTTAGTTTCAAAAACTCCAACGTTAGATTTGAAAACACAGAATCTGCTAACTCCCATTCACAGCAGCCCACCTCTCCTCAGAGGCCCCTGGCTATGAACCAGCCCCTGTCCACTCACCGGCAGAGGTTGCCTCCCTGCACCTTGCAGTGCCTACTGGATTTCAACTTGTCCAAGCTACGTTTCTCCTTGACGTGGGACTAAAGAGATGGACACGGTTAAAGCTGGCTGAGATAATAATTTAGTTTTATGTCTCATTGTCTCTTTTCTTTGTGATTCTCTCAAGAATAAGGACAGTGTCTGTTCATTTTTGTCTTCTTAGCCCCCAGACTTATACCTACTCCCCACTAGGCAGTTGCTACATGCATGAGGGAGTAAGCAGACATCAATGAAGAGCATTCAGACTTTGTGAACTAATATCAGGCAATTCCTCTGTGCCAGGCTTTAATACCTGTGCGTGTGTTAGTTATTTCATCCTTACAACAACCCAGTGAGTGGGACTGTTATTATCCTTGATATACAGGGGAGGACACCAGGGCACAGAGAGGTCGGGTAATCTGCCCAAGATCACACAGGCTGATGAGTGTTGAAGCAGAATTCTGGCCCAGGCATTCTGGCCACAAGCTTCCTACAGGGGAGAAAACTTTGAACTTTGGAGCCAAATCCCATCCATAAAATGCAGATTGTGATGATTCCCCCTTCTAGGCTGCTGGGAAGATTAAGAGCTATCATGCACAGGCAGCATTCTGAGTGCAGCGGAGACAATGGCTGATGTTCGGAGCTAACTAGTTCTTATCCCCTCATTGGGTTTTCCAGAGTCACCGATGTGGTTTTATGGTCTTTGCAGCTAAGTTGCTTTTCATGCTTACCTATACAAAATGTTGGTTAATACCCTATTTTGCAAATGAGTCTGACAATTGGAGATAATGTTTATAAACTGCCATTCAGTCCCTGGCACACAGTAGATGCTTGATAAAGACCAGCTATTATTGTCTTCATCATCACCAGTATCAGCAGTGGGATGCTGGTCTGAAGGGGGGGTGCGCTGTGTCTCCCCGCTCCCTGTGTGTGGCCATTCTTCAGTAAAAGCTGACGCACCTGGGAATTGGATTTGGCTTCCCTCCTAAGCCAGAGGGCCTGTCACGTAACCTCATCCTCTTCTGGCTGGCATTCTCATCAGGCTGGCATTCTTAGGCCTGCGTCCATAACTTCCGGACAGACGACATTAAGTCCTTAGAGTGCCCATTAGCATAGGACTGCATTTCTCTGCAGGAGGAAGTCTGTCTGACTCAGTAGTTTGGTTTTGTAATCAGATCTGCATGAACCTAACAGTCAAGCCTTGTTTGTCCAGTCTCGGTGTGAGTGCTGTTTGGCCATATGAAGATAAGAGACAGTATTACCTGTGTGGTCTCTTTATTTTAGTGTTATGTTCAATCCTGTGTAAGTCTGGAAATTATTAAATAGAGTTAATAATTATGAAATTATTAAATAGAAACTTACTATAAACAGAAGCTGATATCTGCAGTAACTTCTGTTTATAAAACAACATCCCAGGACCTGTCTTTAATTAGGTAATTATTAGGTAATATTGTTTCATTCCATACCTCTTCGTGTATTCTGATGTTCTAAATTTTTTAATGCTAACTTAGTTTTCTTCTAAGATATTTTTGACACCTTTTTTCTTTTAATGATATTTAATCTTAATTTAATGTTTATCTTTTGAAAGTTTTTCACTGTAGTCCTTCCCCATATAAACTCAACTTTTTGTAAACTCAACTTTTTATAATCATTTTTGAATTTATTGCTATATCTCATTATCTCTAAAATATCTCCTTTCACTCTTTTTCTCTCATTTTCTGTCTACTCATCCTATATATTTTTAAACTGAATTGCTGAACTTCCCTTTCCCAAGGTTCTCAGTAATTACCAATAATTCAGAAAACCTTACTGTCTTATATTTCTCTTTTCCCTTTCCTCTTGTTTGCTTCTTTTGAGCCCCAAATACCAGTATATTACTAGACTCCTCTCTCTCTCATATTTATATATGAGGAAGAATCATTGACTGGCTGTCTCCTGCACACTCCTTACTGGGGATTGAGCCTGCAACCCGGGCATGTTCCCTGACCAGAATCAAACCCTGCCCTCCTGCTTCATAGGTGACGCTCAATCACTGAGTCATGCCAGCCAATTGGGCTCTTCTTCTTCTTCTTTTTTTTTTTTTCTTCCAAATGTAAACTTTCAAAACCTAATTCTTCTTCTCCATCAGTATTAAGACAATTTTCATTTGAGAATTTTTACTTTGTTCCACACAATAAATTTTTTCCCTATCAATGATTAGTCCATTGAGGACCTACTATGTGCCAGACTCCGACAATAAAACAAATGAATAATTCCCAACCTTTAGGAGGTTACTTTATACAGGGAAGGCAGACAACATGTAAACCAACAAATGGAGTCATTTCAGCTACTGGAGTTATAGAGGTGATGAATACAGTAATAAACTGGAAATGACCAGGCATGGCACGGAGGAAGCTCATCTCTTTCCGTTATAATTTTTTGTCTTCTGGTGTGATTTTATAGTCTGGTGTTTTGTTTTCTTTTTTAACATTTTTTCAGTGGTACCTTTTTTTTATTTCACTTTCCCCCTTTTTCATTCATCCCCTAGTCGGTGGTCTGCAAACTCATTAGTCAACAGAGCCAAATATCAACAGGACAATGATTGAAATTTCTTTTGAGAGCCAAATTTTTTAAACTTCTAACACCATTTCTTCAGAATAGACTCGCCCAGGCCATGGTATTTTGTGGAAGAGCCACACTCAAGGGGCCAAAGAGCCGCATGTGGCTCTTGAGCTGCAGTTTGCTGACCACGGCTCACTTATAAGGATTGAGTATAAGTGTAATTCATTGCCTTATGCCTTCTTCCTTATAACCTTTTGCTTTCTTTCCGATTCCTGGAAAGTTTCTTTCCCACAGTCTGTATCATGAAGGTCATCTTTAATTATTCTTGAAACCAAAAGGCATTTCTCCAGAATAAACCTCACCTTTTGACATCCTGGGGGGTTTTTTTTTGTTTGTTTTTTTTAAAGAAGAGTGATTCTTAACTGTTTGTCTGAGCATAATGTGTGTTGGTGTGTAAGGTGCCTTCCTTTTTTTTTCTTTTTCTTTTTAAATATATTTTATTGATTTTTTTTTTAGAGAGGAAAGGAGAGAGATAGGGAGCTAGAAACGTCGATGAGAGAATCATCGACCAGCTGCCTCTTGCACACCCCCTACTGGGGATGTGCCCGCAACCAATGTACATGCCCCTGACCGGAATCGAACCTGGGACCGTTCAGTCTGCAGACCGACGCTCTACCACTGAGCCAAACCGGTTTTTCGGCTCCAGGTGCCTTTCTTATAAGAATTGGACTTTATTATGAGATTGAGTTATGTTAGGAAATGATAATGAGTAGTATATAGTGTGCATAATGACTTTGTTCAGTAAAAGAAATTTTAGCAATCCCCTGGTTTTTAGAACATGGAACTCTGACTTCTTCTAGGCTTAGATCTGAAAATGAATACTCAGTGTTCTTTTTCTGCTTTCAGGGATGACTCTGTCCCAGAAGATAACATCTGGCGCGGTATCCTCTCTGTTATTTTCTTCTTTCTTATCATCAGTGTGTTAGCTTTCCCCAACGGTAAGTGATGTGCTATTTATCACGTTTCTCCTATGCGTTGTGCCCTTTGGGTATTTTTTAGTTGTAAGCCATCTAGAAGATGGAACTAAAAGGTGGAATAAAAACAATAGTCTGGGTTTCGTGTGATGGTTGAGGCACAGGCTCTGGAGGCAGACTGCCCATTCTGCACTTCCATAGCTCTGTAGCCACTTGAAGGACTCAGGAAACAGATTACTCACTAAATGAACCTATCAGTTTATTACTCTACAAAATGGAGGTCACAGGTAGGTACTGTTGTAAGAGTTACGTTCTCTGAAGAGAGAATGACAAATTGCAAGCTCTCGGTGAATGTCAGCTGCTGTTCTTGTTGCTGTTTTTGTTCTCATCAGCCCAGTCCTACATGCTCAATCATTCGATAACTCCTTTTTTGCTAAGGACAGGTTCAGTGCTATAATGAGTATTACTTAATAATTTGTTGTCATGGTGAACTTTGCTGATTATATGTGGATATGAATTTGCATCAGCAGGTAAAAAAGACATTATTACCATGAATTTTACTCCCTATCGTGATTATAGAGTGAGGCAGAAACTTTTAAAAAAAGTAGTTTGGTATTCTGCCATCCTTGAGATTCATTCTTTCCTCTGAACGGTCCCTTACAAACCACTTTCATTTTTCTTGTTCCCCTTCAGCACTTTCTTCCTAGGATATTTTTCTCTGTAACCATTTTTAAATGCTCACTTCCTATTTCCTACTTTTACAGTTAATGGTATTTTGAAATTCATTCTTTCTTATGAGTTATGCTCCATAAGCCCCATTCATGATTTAAATATCTATTCTTCTCTATTCCATTTATCCAGTAGAAGGTAATGTGTGATAGGAGAAGCCTGTTATGAATGGTACTGGTTGCTGCGTGGAAATGCACCATGGTAATAGGAGTCTAGTGCCCGTCCCAGTGTGTATGTGCTGGGTGGTGGTGCTCTGACACCAGCCGGATGTCCTACAGTTCACCTCCATTCTGATGCTGTCTCCCCAGCGAGAGTGTCGGGTCCCACAGGATAAGCGCTCAGACCCCACTTGGGAGGCCGGTTGCAAGTCTAGGCTGGTACCTGTGCTTCTTCCTAGAGCGGCTGTAGTCAGAGGCCCCCCAACCTCCTCCGTGGGTTCCGCTCATTGCTCCAGAGGCTCTCAGGACTCGGGAAGCCAGTTTGCTCACTGAATGAACCCGTCACTTTATCCCAGAGGCTGTTCATGAGCAGCCCGAGGCAGATGCGTGAAGCATGTAGTCAGAGTCCGTGGGGAGGGCCAGGAGCTCCCATGCCTTCCCCAGGAGCACCGCTTTCCTGGCCTCCACACCAGGTCTCAGCCCAGAAGCTCGCCAGCCCCGTCCTCACAGGGTTTTCTGGAGGTCTGTCACATAGGCGCCATGGATCAAATCACTGACATCGGTGATCGGAGTCCATCTCCAGCTCCTCTCCCCGGACTAGGTCTGGGAGTGGGACTGAAAGTGCCAAGCCTCCAGTCACCTAGTTGGCTCCACTGGCAGCCCGCCCCACCCTCTGGTGCTTCCCGAAACTCACCTCATTATCTGAACAAGAGACACTTTACTGTCCTCATCACTTTGGAAATTCCAAGGGTTTTAGGAGTTCTCTGTGTCACAAACAGAAACACAGATCCTGTTCCAAATACATATTTATTATAAATCACAGTATCACCCATGGCAGAGCCCTCAGGCTTTTCCGGAGGGTGGCAGTGGAATTTCATTCTGTATTTTTGCTTATTTTGTGCAGCACTCTCTAGGTTTTTTGCTGGCAGCATGATTATCCAGCCATTAAGCCATGACTGAATCCTATAGGGCATGCACTGTTGTAGATAAGCCAAGTCATTGTGGAGTTGAACTCTGCAACCACTCAAGCTTTTAGATTAAATATATCTTTCGTGAGAGGCTGCTGTCCTACTCAGTGCAGACTGCGCTAACAGAACACTATAGACTAGGGGGCTTCACACAGGACTTCTGCAGCCAGTTCTCTCCAGCTGTGAACCTGAGACTGGACACATTCTGTGCTTTGTCTTCTTGAAGGAAAGATTTCAATCCGGAGACAAAGTGTAGAAAAGCAAGAAAGAATTTATTAACAGCAGCAATAAATACTTAAGGCAGAGAAACAAGGAAGGCTTAGAGGAAACCACAGGAGAGCCTGGGCGGGGCTGCTTTGGCTCACTGAGAAGTCAGAGCAGAGGGGGCCTTGGAGACAGGTTTAGGGGGTCTGCTGCCCATTGCTCCCCTGGTTGCAAGCCTCATGGGGTCCCCTGGAGGTTAGGGGTTACGTGCCTGTGGGGGAGGAAAAGGGGAAAGGAAATGGCGAGGACGTGTTCCTTGAAGGGAGAGTGCACTAGGATCGTTATTTTCAGGGGTTTTAAAGGATGGGCGTTTAGGGGAGGTCTTAGGGGCAGGTCAATAGAATATTCATCTGCTTTATGCTGATGGACCAAAATAAGGTTTATTCTCTTATTTTGTCTGTCCTTGGGTGTGGTTGGCAAATAGCTCTCCTTGGATTTCTGTATCTGTCTCCCTGAGTAGGAGATTTAAGCTATTTACCCTCCGGCTGGGGAGAAGTGCAAACTATTTACTCTTATGTGTCCTTGCTTTAGGGCAGATAGGATTTACTCGGTGGCTGCAAACTGCTGTTGAACTATCTGTCTCAGTTGCCTTATTCCTTTGTCCTGGAATTTCCCTAGCTTCTCGCTATTCTATAACACTGTAGTGTGACAGGCTGAGGATAGACATTTCTATTTTAAAGAAAGGCCAATTCTATGAGATCTTAGGTCAAGAAGCCTCAAGGTTTAAGAATAATTCTCCTCGCCTCAGTGCTTGCCCTTGGAAACCAAGGTGAAGGCTGCCCCCTTCTCCCTTCCTCTCGCTGACCTTGGCTCTCTGAGCCTGTGATGGAAGTGACAGCCCAGCCTGGACAACCTCTGAATCGCCTTTGGGGTCCTTCTTGTCTTACAGAATAGCCAGGGAACTCCGGTTCTGTCTCTGGGAAGTCCAACCGTTTTTCAGAGTTAGGATTTCCACACCAGAATTTGGAGGGACACACACATTAACACCTGCATGTCCTGTGCCTTTCTACTGCAACCACGGGTTCTGATATGCATATTTATTGGAGCATGATGACAAGACATCCACGATATGGAATGAATTAACCTCGCTGTAGGATTCACTTTCTAGGAAAAGACCCTGATGTCAATCAGCTTCTTGGCTATTTGCCAGCTTCTTTTCCTTCTCACCTCCAACACACAAAGTCTCAGGATTTTAGGGATAGATCATTTGGACATTGTGTAGCCTGGTCTCTTTCAGAGGTGCCATGTTGTAGTGCCAGCTAAGTGGTCACCTGCGATATAAATCATTTCACTCCCACTGGACCCACCAGGCTGTGGGTGGTCCCCCTGAGCTCAGGATCCTGGCCTTTTCATACAGAGGTAGCTTAAGAATACTGCCCAGTGCAAGAAGATTGTAAGGCTCATCTCAGGTGGGATACCAGCACAGGCCAGCTGCCACCAAAGCCCCCAGGGAAGGTGAGTGGGTGACGATTCAAGTGGTGGTGACTGCCACCCCGCGGCCGCTCTCACCTTCTGTGGCCTGTGAAGGCCTGCTGCTTACTGTCATCAGTTGGTGCCAGGACCTCATTGGCCTGTGCCTCTGTTTCTGTTTCTTATCTCACCTGTCCCCAGTCCTACTCCTTTCTTTTAAGTCAATCAGCAGAGTACATGCTCAGGAAACTGACCGGTCCAAAAGTGTCAGGTCTGTTCTTCAAGACTTCCTCTTTCTTTGGCTGCTTTGCTTAATTCATAAGGGTTACCTCTTCACACTTTGAAGGTTTCTTTTCTATCTTTTTTTTTTCTTTTCTGAATTGCTATTTCTTAAGGCTTTTTGATCTGAGATCTCAGAGCCATTTCGGAAGTCTGCCGACTCAATAGCCGTGATGTTACAGCCACCCAGCCCCGGAGCTTTAGTGGGAGCTGGGTTTGGGGCTTCACAAGCAGATGTTTTTCTTAAGGTACCAAAGGCCCTGAAGGTTGGGGCTAAAATCTAATGGAGGTAACGTTTGTGATTCCTGCTGGTTCTGCCTCTTACTTGCTAATGAAGTCTTCTGGTATTCAGAGCCCACTCAGCCTAACCAGTCTCCCATGTGGAGCTGTGCTTTCGTTTTCTTTCTGGAAAGATAAAAGTTAAGTTTGTTTTATGCTTTTCTTATCCTGGATGTGTGGACTTGGTGGTACATACACATACAAAGAGGGGAGATCCCATCGGATCACCTAGTTCAGCTTGCTCTGTTCTTAGCTAAGAAGGCAGAACCCATGATCGTCATTCGCCCAAAGAGGTCAAGAGGTCACGGGTACTTGGTGTCAGCCTGGTGATCCGGCCCAGCTCGGCGTTGCTCTGGTCGTTTCTCCCCTCAGGTTGTCTGTGAGGTGTTTTCTCTCTGTCTTCTCCTATGTTCCTGTCTCCCCCTGCTTCTCTTCCTCTCCATCAGTCTCTGGCTTTCTTTTCCCAGGAGTGTGGTCTTGGGCAGTGTGCCCTGGTCCTGCAGAGGGCGGATGTGGCCATTCTCCTGTGTTGCCAGCATCTGCCAAGACCAGCAGCGGCCAGCAGATCGATCCAAACCTGCATACTTTCTCCCTTTCCTACTCTCTTCCTGCCTTTCCTCCCCCCATCACCTCTGGGCGCATGCTCCGCACATCACTCACCTGGAGGTAGAACATCCCCAAACAAGGCCTCAGACAGGCCTGGAAAAGGACAATGGCGGTTCGGTAATCTTCATACGCAGGATGGGGTGTTGGGGACATGGGAGAGGAATGGATACTCAACTAAGGGGTGTAATCGACTGTGTTTAAGTTAGGGGGGTGGCTTTGGGAGGGGCCTTGGAGTTGATGGGGAGCCGGGCCACTGGGAAGGGTGCTCCTGAGCTGTGTGGCTCCCTCCCAGAGCCAGCCGCCCAGGAGCCACGTGCCAGAAGCCTGCTTCTCTGAGTGGAATATGTATGCCTCTTCTCGCTCCAGTCTTGCCATCTTATTTTCCGTTCTCCCCACCCTTGGCACGTAATCTCAGATGAAGTAACGAAATGAATCGGAGAGACAAAGCCCAACACTTGTCTTCTCCTTGAAACACACCCTGGGGCAGCGCCTGCAGTGGATGGCATCCACAGAATGGCTCTGTTTTGGCAACTTTGAATGCGTTTATCCTTGACCCAGTAAAGGCTGCCCTGCATGCTTGAGTAGAGGCCTGGATATGATCGCGTCCCCATGGCTCACGTGTGTGAGTTATACATGCTATCTGTGTGGTAGAATCGGTCAGCTACAGGAAGGGAGCCCTGGGATTTCTTTTTGTTCGGAGTCTGAATAACAAAGAAAGCCCTGGACTTTCTCCATGGGGGTTTATAACAGAGTGCTTTGGGTCCCAGGTAATAGGAAACCCATTTCAAAATGGCTTACAGAATAAGGAAAATGTTTCCTTTCGTACATCGCCAGCAGTTCCCCAATAGGTGGCTCCCAGGGTTGGCTGTTCCGTGGCTCGGGGACCTCCAGTTTCCCATATTTCCAGTATGTTGGTCCCAGCTTGCGCCTCCTGCCCTGGTCACCTTGAGGGAGCTGCTCAGCGCCAGACACAGCAAGAGAAAACGTCCTCTCTGTGTTTTTGAGAGTAAAGAAACCTTTTCTAGAAAGCCTCCAGCACACCTGCCCTCAGCCCTCTTTGCCCAGGGTTGGGTGACGGCCTCTTTCCAAGGAGACCCGAGGACAGGCACTTACCAGGCCCGCAGGAGTGGCTCACAGCCCATCTCATTGACCTCCTTCAGCTTGGAGTTCAGCAGAGCACGTGGGACAGGAATGGATACTCACCAGATCCTCTGTCAGTCAGCAGGATGAGTAACAGGCAGGGCTCTCCAGTTCCTTCCTTCGCCCTGTCCTCGGACCCGGAGGGACAGACCCCAGACTGACGGGGAGGAAGGCCTGGTCTCCTGCCGTCTTCTCTCCCGTTCTCTTCCGGTTCCCTTACTCGTTTGTTTGTTTTAAATGCTACTTCCATCATCTCATTACAGCAACTGACACTCAAATATAAGTGTAATTTTATAATTGGAGTTAATCATATCACTATCTCAGGGGTGGAATTTAGAAGCCTATTTCAGCCTACAGTTGGCTCAGAGATTTCTTTCAACAGATAACTGACTGGTGTACTTTTCTGGCTTCTGAACACTTCCTCTTCCACCCCCCTCCAAAAGCACCCAAGCCTGCTCTGGATCCCAATCCTGGCCCACAGTGACCTCTCAATTAAATAACAAATCTGCCAGCAAAAAGTCACAGCATTAGCCTTCTTTTCTTTTTTTCTTTTTTTTTGATTTGGGCATAAATTATTTAATTAATTCACTTTTGATGAACATTTGGGTGGTTTCCAAATTTTGATATTTTAGGCAACACTTTTTAAAAAATTTCTTTATTGATTAAGGTATCACACATTTGTCCTCATCCCACCCCATTCCCATCCCAAACCCCTCCCCACAAATGCCCCCACCCCCCTGTTTTTGTGTCTACTGGCTAGGCCCATATGCATGCATACAAGTCCTTTGGTTGATCTCTCCCCCTTACCCTAACCCTTCCCTACCTTCCCTCTGAGGTTTGACAGTCTGATCAATGCTTCCCTGTCTCCGGGTCTGTTTTTGTTCATCAGTTTATGTTGTTCATTATTTCCCTTAGATGAGTGAGACATATCGGCAAGAGAAAGAACACTCAGCACTTCCGTAAGGTATTCTGAGTAGAGTGAAGTAGTATTTCCTGATTTTCCTGATTTTATCATTCTGTTTGTCCTTCAGGCTCATTTGGCTTCTCTGAGCTCAGCGTGGTGCCAATTACATCCCTGAGATTTGAAGGTGATCCAGAAGGTTCACGGCTTCTAATTTTTTTTTTTTTTTAATTCTTATCTCCTCATTCTCTGCCCACTGCTCACTACTTTTTCTCATTTAAGTTTTCCCCCTTAGGTTTAAAATATGCATAGGAATACTTTTATTTACTTTACTTGTTTCTTAGAGACATTTACACTTGAATAGTAAGCAAATATTTTCCAGCTTTATCAATTATACCTCAATAAAGCTGAAAAAAATACCAAGGGAACAGACTAAGAGGGCGTGAGGACAAAAGTGTGACTTCTAGTTTTTGTTTAAGAATTATCCCTCCTGAGGGTTTGGTCCCTTCAACTCAGTTGTAGGGATAACTGTTGCTGGTAAGACAAGCAGTGGCCTTCTTTCTAATTTCTAAGGTCGTTTTTGAAAGGCTCCTCTTCTCATGATGAAGACATTTTGCTTCTATGTCTTGAAATTCAGCTTGCTCTGAATATCTGATTACCAGTATGTCCTCGGGATGCAGGGCCTGCTGAAGGAGAGAAAACAGGTAGTTTTCAGTGAGCCTGGGAAGAAACAGAATCCAGAGCCAAGCAGGCCTCTTTCTTCCCACGCTCAGTGCCTTCCGTGTCCTGGGCACACAGAAGAGACGGGCTGGGGCTCCGGCTCCTCCCTGCACATGTGCACAGCTCGCTGGGAGAGGAGGTCTGTGCAGAAGGCCATGAGGAAATCACATGCTCAGAGGAGGCAGAGATGGTATAGTCCTCCTAGGCAGACCGGGTGTGGAAAGCATGGCTTTCAGAAGGCGGCATGCACGGGGTAGCCAAGCGTGGGTAACCTAGTAAGCATAAATGCCAAGGCTTACGGTATAGAGAAATGCCAGCCTCGTTTTTTGGTTTTTTAAGAAGTCTAATGATATTTTAGTAATAGTACTGTCTGATGATGACGATGGCTCTCTCAGCGAGGAATGTTACTGAACTGCAATTCTAAGAAGGGGCCAGAGTTGAGGTTGGCCGCTGAGACTCACCTTACCTGCGCCAGGCTTTACCTCACCTGCTGGCAGTAAATGGCACCTGGTTGGGGACAGAGCACCTTGGTACTCTGTCTCCTCTGGCACCCACCTTCCTAAGCCTTTTTCGGATCCGGTGCACTTCAGTTTGCAAAGCCGAGAGGCCATTTTTAAAAGTTGTCTCTTTTGAGAAACATTGTGATGTGATCCTATGATGTGTAAGTGGGAAACAACAAAGAGGAAACAGATTGATTAGGGATAAGTCGAGGCTTAAGAACAAGCAAACAGCAATAAAATGAACATTCTCTTTCAGGTCCCGGAACAGCGTGGGCCTGTCACAGGGAGTCACAGAGTAACCGAGGGAAGTACCCGGGGGCGGAAGCAGGGTGTGCAGGTTAAGGCGAGCTGGAAGGCCCCTCGGCTCCCAGGTCCTCAAGCACCTGTCTGTCTGTCCTCTCACTTCGGAACAACTGCCTGGGGCCGGATAAGCCGGGGCTGTGTCTGTTTTCCAGAGGCTTCTCTTGCAGCAGTGGCCGGTGGAGGAGGACTTGGGTGCCTTTCTGCTAGTTGATGTGCGGGAGCTCCCATCCGCCACCTGGCATTTCCCCGTCTTGGCAGCTTTTTGACTTTGCTCATCAGTTCCACTTGCAGGACCTCAACAGCACCCACCAGCTTGCTCCTCCCGCCTTGCTTCCCTGACCGAGGCAGGCCTGGCTCCGGCTCTCACTCCTCCTCAGTCTCCCCTCCTGAGCTGGCCCAGGCCTGACAGAGTTGATGGAGAAGTGCTTGTGTGCTCTCAGACCAGAGAGGAGTCTGAGACGACTTCTTTGGGGCTCACTGTTCTTATGTAAAATGGGGGTGATGGTACCCCGCAGTTAGGAGAACTAAGACTAAATGTAGGGCCGTCTCAGCCTTCAGCCTAGTACCCAGTGAGTGCTCAGAAAGTACTGCTCATTGTTATAAATTAACATTATGATTGCTCTTGAGAACAACAATGTATGGTTTTGAGTGTTGATTGGGCATGGAGTTCTATTTCAAGCCGAATAGATGAGAGTTGGACCTTGTAGCCGTAGAGAAGCCGGGGAGCCCTGTTAAGAGAGGTTAATTCAGTGGCATGGATGAAGTAATATTTCAAGCCGGATAATTATCATAATACAGAGTTCATTCGTTCATGGTGACAAGTCAAGAGACATCAACTCAAAATCAGTGAAGAGAAAATTACTCAAAAGACGGCAGTTTTAGCTGTCAGTTTTTCCAATGGCATGTAAAGAAAGTAAACCATATCATGATGTTACCTAAAAGGGGATCCAGGCTTCTCTGCTTCAGTGTGCTTTTCGGAGAGAGGAGCAGATGTTAAAAAGACTAGAGGTACCTCTCACCTCTGAGCTCTCACTACGTGCCATCCAAAACTCGGGCACCAGCTTAATTTGGATAAAGCAAAGTCTCTCACAAAGCTAACGTACTTTCTGAATTCTCACCATCTATACTCAGGAACTGAATATAACTGGATAGTGGGGATACTTGTAACAGATTTCCCTAACGTGAGCTTGATTCATCAAAAGAAAGCAGTTCATATATATTTTAATTTTTTAGCCTGTGTAAAAAGAGGGATTTTAGAATGCGTTCCAGAGTGAAAATTACAGTGTCAATATTTGCCTCGGACAGGATTCCCAGTTGCAAGCAACAGAAGCTGACCGTGCTGGTTTGAAAGCCTGCTTGCAGAGGAGTTGTAGAAGGCTAGGAAACCAGTTCCCAGGAGAGCTAGACAATTGGCATGTCACACAGAACTGGTCTGATGAGGAAACCCCAGTGAGCTTAGGCTGTAGTCTGGCCCACTGTCACTTCTGCGGTGAATTGTCATGGAGCCTCATGCCACAGTCAGCAGTGTGAAGAGAGTGCCACCTCCAGCACAGAGGGAGGAGAGGAGGGCGTGCATAATCACCTCTACTCCCGTCTGCATGGGTGTGACTGAAGAACCAGCCCTAGTTAGAAAGAATCCTGGGTAGCCAGTTCTGGCATCGCCCGGGGAGACGTGGGGAGACCTGGGACGTGTAACGCTGGGAGTCCTCCCTGGGAGGAAGGCGGTCCCGCAGGCGGGGCAGCTCCGGGCAGGCTGGGCCCATTAGAACGGTGTTCAGCGTTTTCGAGTTATAACCTTTCCATTGGTCATAAACCACTCTAGGGAAACTGCTTGCTTGCCTTCTGATTTTTTTTTTTTAAATGAAATAGAAGAGAAGTTATTGTGTATCACTTATAGTTTCATCTTGTGAAACTTTTCATTGAACATGATCTGCATCGTGTATGGAAACTGAGTTGCCGGGTAAAAGCTATTGTTACCACAGTTCAAGATCTTCAAAGCCTGCACCCTCCAGTGCTCAAGAGTTTATTTTCAGTTTCACTACCCATCTCACTTATTTGCAAAGCATAGTATTTGTCTTTTCTCTTTTCATTTTCAGAGTAAGTCATGCCCCTCCACCCTGACACACACACACACACACACACACACACACACACACACTCACACACTATCCAGACCTTTTTTCCCTGGAGCAGTGGTCGGCAAACTCATTAGTCAACAGAGCCAAATATCAACAGTACAACGATTGAAGTTTCTTTTGAGAGCCAAAATTTTAAAAGTTAAACTTCTTCTAACACCACTTCTTCAACATAGCCTCGCCCAGGCCATGGTATTTTGTGGAAGAGCCACACTCAAGGGGCCAAAGAGCCGCACGTGGCTCTCGAGCCGCAGTTTGCCGACCACAGCTCTGGAGCTTCTGCGGAGCAGGGAGCTTTCACCTGTGGAGGTACACTCTGTATGACTTACACTGACAGATAACCTACTTACTGCTATAACAATGCTTCCCTGGGAAATGATGACCTGAGTTCTAAAGAGAAAAAACACACACAACTGGAGGGGGCCTGTCATGTGTATGGCAATAGTGGTTACAATGTGGACCAAACATTTCAACCCAGACTTGGACTTCAAAGTGTCTATAAAAAAAAATTTTTAAATAAAGGGCCTTTCATTGTCTTTAATCTTGTCTCTGAAACGAGTTGGTTCTAACCCTGTTATGTTACCTCTGCAGGTCCATTTACTCGGCCTCACCCAGCCTTATGGAGAATGGTTTTTGGTGAGTTACCCATTAGGTTTTAAAATATATGCTACTTAAAAAAGTTTTTCCCCCCCTGTATATTATGGCAGTTTTGCTTACCACTCTATGGGAAAAAAAACTGTACAGCTTTTTATTTATTGGTGTTCCTAATATAAATTTTTATTAAAATCTTTGCCACAAAATAAAGTACTGGAGACAACCAACATCCTCATACATGTGAACCGTTTTAGCCCCTTTGCCCCCTTCTTATGCTGTTGTCTCTGCAGTACACGGGACCCGGCGCTGGGATTGTGGCTTGTTTTCCTTTAACCAGTTAACTACCACACGTCCAAAACGGAAACCATTCCCACCGCCACAATATTTTGAATTTAATTTAAAAAATCAATTTGCAGCGAATTTTATAAAAATAAATATATTACTCACAATTCGGGTGTTCTTGAATATTTTCAGCTGAAAATTCTGACAAAAAATGATTTCAAAGTTGGTTAGGGCTGCCACTTAGGGAAAACATTCTTTTATAGATGCATATGGCATCTACAGACGCTTATGGTGGACAACGGGTTAAGCATCTTCCTGTTTCTCTTCCCTAGTGCAAGCTCAAGTGTATCTCTGAGCACATTGGTCTCATCGGCATTGAGGAGGACTGAGAAGTCCAACAACCTCGTGTTATGAACAGGAAAGAGCTTGGGAAAGGGAGAAATCTTTAGACAAAGAGCCCTGGTTTGAACTACAGTTTAGTGATGGGCATTTGATATAAATACTGGATGTCTTATTTTTATTTGATTTCTAGTCCAAATAGTCAAATCACCTGAATGGATTTAATACAGATCTTCAGAACTGTAGACATTGGCTTCATCTTGCCTAAATAAGACATCAAATAAATAACTTCAGAAAAATGTAACCTTCTGCAAAAGGACCTTCAAGACGGACCTTTCGCTCAAGGTTGCCTGTTTTTCTTTCAGTGTTCAGGGATCAAAGGGAAATCCTTTTGAATTTAATGGTCCGTCCAGACCTTGGTCCAGTGCCCTGTGGGCAGGCGCTGCTCTGCCCCGAGGCTGGGCTCGGCAGACAGCCCAGGAGCCGCGCTGCCAGTCAGGAGGGCCTGCAGGGGGAGGACAACGGCAGCAAACACACCGTTCAGCCAGTCATCTCATCCCAAAAGTCAGATGTGGCTTAAGTGTTAGGACTGTAGTGGAGCCACGTGAAGTGACAGTGACCGGGTGGCTGCTTTTGCTTGTGCGTGAGGCAGGCTGAAGGCAGGTGCTTAATCCAAACCCTGCATGCGGAGGAGGATCTGAGCGCGCCAGGGCGGGGGTGGGAGCCAGACAGAGAACGAGACCCAGTGGTCCGCAGCGAGGAAACGTTCCGCGTGTCCCCTCCCGGGTGGCTCGGGCCGAGCAGGCCTGGGACCCCGTGAGCGGTCGGAGTCAGGCACACACGGAAACCTGCCGGCCTGTAGGCCGCTCAGGGTTGTGGGTGTGAAGGGCAGTCGGAGATCATGGGAGGATTTTTTGCAGAGAAGTGAGATGGTTCATTTATGTTTTTAAAAAGACAGTCCTGGTTGCACCATACTCTCACCTCATGGACTTCATATTTCTGCGTGAAGTGAAAAGTTATTTTCAGCCTGTTGGCTACACCTGAGCTTTTCCTGTTTCAGATGGCCCACTACAGGGAATGAGCAGTTTTGTTTCTTCCCTGTGGTCTTGGAGCCCTTTGTTATTCCGATGAGAACTGTAGATCCTCTCCTCTCTTAGCAGACACACAAACACACATGCATGCATGCATGCTTGTTCCACACACACAGTTCTGCATGTTTCTTCATGGACCTTGAAGCCCAGCCATGAACTGCAATGTTTTCTTTCTACCTTGAAATTATTATTTGTAGAGAATTATAATAAACAGTTACGGGGCGAGGGCGGGGGGCATTTGAGTTGAAACTTTGTGTGAAAATAGCTGGTGCACAAGTGCAAACCCCAGGAGGTCCTCACACCCATGTGCCTACATCCTGGGATCACAACCTGGTGGGAGTGCTCCTCTCCATACACCCGCCCCCATACACCCGCCCAGGCCTGGGACTGGCAGCTCCCTGTTGGAAGGCCCGGCGCTGTAGCATTCCAGCACGGTGTCCTCTCCTCTGGAGCGGCTCCCTGCAGATTAGTGCTGAGCCAGCTTTGGACGGGGTGCTGTGGTCCAAGGTCATTTGTATCACAGTGTCTAGATGGCCTATCTTAACACATACATTCTAGCAGGTTCCACAGAAACAGAAGTGACAGAGCCCCGGTGGTTGATTTTCAGAGCTTTCTGAAGGGTATTTGTAGGCTTTTGCCTTCTCAGAGTAGATTCACTTTGTTCTTCAATGATGAAGCCAGTCATGATAGGGTGTGACAGTAAGGTAATGCCTGCAAGGGCTCATGTGGGCCACCTCCCGCACTCCAGACCTGTCACTGCTGACCTGGCCCCCAACTCTCTAGCTGGCCTCACCCACCTGCACCCCCTCTCCACACAGTGGCCGGAGTCAGCCTCGTAAAATGTTAACCTAGATCATCTTATTTCCCCACTGAAACCCCACCAAGCGCTCCTTGTTTCACCTTTGCCGTGGCCCCAGCCTGACTCCCTTCAGGGCCACCGCACTCCTTCCCCTTGCTGCCAGCACCCCAGCCACGTGCGGCTTCCAGACACTTCTCTGTGCAGGGACCTATTGCGGCCTTTCTGGGCCTCAGCTGCGCTCACCCCTCCACTCCCAGCCCACCCCTCTGCCTGCCAGTCTCGGCTTCAGCATACGTACTTTTCTCAGCAAGTGTTGCTGACCCTCTCGGTCTGAACTAGGACCGTGCATGAGCCTCTCACAAGGAAGCGCCAGATGGTGCTGGGGGTCTGGCACAGCGTCGGTGTCGGCTTGGCCGTGAGGGACTCAGGGGTGGGTAATGTGGGTTGTGCATCCGCCACTCGGCTCTGTCCTCAGTGTGACACCGCTTCTTTCCCTCAGGCCTCAGTGTGCTCTACTTCCTCTTCCTGGTCTTCCTCCTCTTCCTGAACTTCGAGCAGGTGAAGTCCATCATGTACTGGCTAGATCCAAATCTCCGCTACGCCATGAGGGAGGCGGACATCATGGTACGTACCGGTCAGTGGCTCCGGGGGCTGCTGGGCTCCGGGGTGTGGAGGGATCCCATGCACATTCCAGTGGCTCCTGCTGAGCACAGGTCTCTGGCAGGTAGGGGAGGGCGTGGCTGCCCTGAGGGACAGTCAGGGAAGCCAAGTCCTCTGGGAGCCACCTCTGGGAGCCACGGGGGTGCCAGGGAGCGTGTGAACGTGATCATCAGGCGGCCTTGGGCACTCGTTAGCTGTAGGACTTTGGGTAGCACCTATTTGGGGATTGACTGCGAACTAAAGAAGTAACATTATCCACGAGGCCAGCACGGCGCCTGGCACACACAGGTCCTCAGTGGTCTGTCACCTCCAGCCTCCGCCACGACCCTTGCCACCCGCTGCCACCAGGGGCCGCTTGTCATGATTCAGGCCATTGCGTTCAGTAGCTTCACCAAATCACAAAAAACGTCACTTTCTTCTTGGCTGAGGCTGCTCTGTGCTTTGCTGTCAGTTTTACACTGTAATGCGTTCGCTCCACGCTCCCTCAGTGCCTGATACTTGGCACAGTTTGAAGAAAGCTGGCGGCTCAGAAAGGGAGGTCAGCATTTGGGTGTCCGTCTCTGGCCCAAATGCTGACCTCCGTTTCTGAAACAGTAGGAAGGGACTTAGTAAAGGGTCCGAGAAGTCATCCTTCTACTGCAGTTGAGATTGGTCAGACCCTTCGGAATGGTGTTTCCCGACTGTATCTTTAACGCTTATAAAGAACATAAAGGCAGGAATAGGAATCCAGAAATGACTTCGGAGTCTCGGGAGGACAGTGTGTGGGAAGAGGATGGAGCAGGGCGCCTCACAGCTTCGAATGATATTGTGGTGGTTGGGGTGCGGGTGACACTGGGGCTGATTGGGGCTGTCTGCTCTGCCAGGCACGGGGCTGGGCGGTTTGTATTGAATCTATACAAACCTCACGCATGCATGGCAGACAGTCCTATCCCCATCTTCCCGAGGAGAAATAGAAGCTTAAAATAGTTAAATATTTTGCTCAGAGCACAAATTAGCAAGATCCCTTTGGCTCTAAAACCTGTACTTTCCTTTTGGACTAGTCTTCAGTTATACAGTTATAATAATAATAATAATAATAATAATAATAATAATAATTAGTGTTCTCATGCTCACTGAAGTCTGTGAAATCTTAGTGATTAGAAGAAAGATGTCTCAGATATATTTCCCCCACAATTTTCTTGGACTTAATTTTTTTATTTTATTTTATTGATTTCAGAGAGGAATGGAGAGGGAGAAAGAGATAGAAACATCAATAATGAGAGAGAATCATTAATCAGCTGCCTCCTGCATGCCTCCTACTGGGGATCAAGCCTGCAACCCAGGAATGTACCCTTGACTGGAATTGAACCCAGGACCCTTCAGTCTGCAGGCTGACACTCTATCCACTGAGCCAAACTGGCTAGGGCTTTATTTATGTTTTGTTACTGACCTTAACACAGTTACCCTGAGGTCAGGTGACATAGCATATGTGATACCCCTTCTTTGAGATGTGTAGTAAGCCTTTGTGAAATTATTTCGCTCCTCTTTTTAACCCAGCTTTTGCAGTTCAGAACAAAGCAGTTTAATTTATAAACTCTAATTAATGCTTATCCATATTTCTTTAAGAATCTAAAAATTAAAACATTTTTGTTGGGCAGGACATATATTACTTATTAAGGTCACATCAGTTCCTATTTAACATCAGAATCCTGGAAGCCAGCTGATTTCTGGAGCATCATTAATTATTCCCCTTTTTACTTTTCAACAGGAGTATGCTGTGAACTGCCATGTCATCACCTGGGAGAGGATTATCAGCCATTTCGATATATTTGCATTTGGGCATTTCTGGGGCTGGGCCATGAAGGCCTTACTGATCCGCAGTTATGGCCTCTGCTGGACCATCAGCATCACCTGGGAGCTAACTGAGGTAAGAAGGGGGCAGGCCGTCATCTGGACCCTGCAGTGCAGATAGTTTGTATGGAGGAAGAAGCTGTCCGTCAGTTCACAGTCAAGCATCCATTCTCCAGTGTCGGGAACAGAACTGCATTGAAAACGCCCCCGCAGGAATATTTTACAGCTTTGTGAGAAAAAGATAGCTTCTTGCTAACTTAAACTGTGCCTCTGTGTCACATATCTTAAAGAACATCATCCCCATTCGCCAAGGTTGCAGGTTCGATCACTGGTCAGGGCGCATACAAGAAGCAACCAATAAATCCTTCATAATAAGTAGATAAATAAGTGAAACAAGTCAATATTTCTCTCTCTCCCTTTCTCTCAAAAGTCTATCTAAAATAAATAAAAAAATTTAAAAACACACAAATGAAATAAAGCTCAAGAATGAAATTGAAATCCCAAGTGAGACAAAGAAAGGTTAGTGAGATCTGTTTAGAAGTAAATAGGTAGTTTACCCAGTAATGAGACTCCAGTTTGAAATAAATAGGATTGTGGTGTTTAGGAATTACTAGGGCATTGATGGTGCTTTGTAGCTGAAGAATGAATTTCTGATACAGCGTTACATCTCAGTAATCACACGTATTGTCTCATTTAATGAATGGAGAGAGATATATTCTTGATAAACCATTAGCAAAATGAAATTTTGGGAACTAACTCGTTAATTGTTTAGTTATTATATTACTCTTATTCATTCACAAGAGCACATTTTGGCCCTGTGCACAGCATGCTTCTCCAAGCCAGTCATTATTCTGATGCCAACCTAGAGGAGCCCAGTTCTCCAGGGAAGCTCCCCGGGCTGCCGTGTCCTCCTCGCGGCTCCCCCAGCCGCTCCCCCAGCCGCTGGGTTTCAGCAGCTGATGCTCCACCTTGTGGCTCGGGAATGTGTCTCAGGGTAGTGACCCCTGGGTCAGAGCTGCTTTGTACCTCTCGGCAGCAGGCACCTCACACAGGCACGTGCCTTTGTAATGTTTTAGTCTGTGAAATGCTTTCATGAGCAGTTTTATTTTGTAGTATTTCTTACATTACTCCAGAGTAATTCTCCTCTCTTCTATTACTTGGTAATTATATCACTTTGTAATTGTGGGGTTGCCTCCTTAGAGAACCCCAGGCAGTTTCTCTGTAATTTCAGACTTTAAAACGGGCCTTCCCACCGCAGGGCACTCTGTCCCGGACTCGGCTGTGCTGCCCTGGTTTTGAACAGCACTGTGCAGCTAGCAGACTTCTGTTCCGCCCTGGCCATTCCTGTTCCCCTTTCTGAGATGCCTCATCTCCGTCTCCCCAAGCCAGTCCTTTCTGGCCTCACTGAGCCCACCTCAGCATACCTTCCTTGCAGTCGCCATCTCTCAGGATGGCTCTCTCTCTCGTCCCCACTGTGCTCCTTTTATGTCACCATGGTAACACTTGCCACAGCCTACACTATTTTGTGTTCTAGATGAACATCTGACTCTGCCCTTGAGGTCAAGCACCTTGATTTCATTTTGTCTTGCCACCTGCTCATCATCACTGTTTCATAAAAGATGATCATTTTTGGGAATCAGTGAGTGAGTGTGAGATTTCCTGTTAAGCTTTAATTCCGTATATCATCTCATCAAGGTCTCACTTTTTTACTTTATGTTTACAGCTTCCTCCCTGTTTTACCCAAATAAACAGGGAGTGGGATATCTCTAAAACGCACAGCTTCAGTTACCACGCTGCTGATCCTGAGCGTTAGGCCAGTGCTTCGTTGGCAGGTCCGAGAACGTCTCTCCTTTACCCTCCTGAGTCCTTGTCGTGTTGCCCTTAGCCAGCACAGCTCATCAGTGGCATTTTGTAAAGAGGGACCATCATTTCTCTAAGGCCTCTCTCAGAAGATGAGCTGTCTGCTTCAGTACTGTCTGCAAACCACTCGAAATATAAAACCAAGAACCAGGTTACAAACCCTAAAAACTGACATATCAACTTTTCCTAAAACATGCATTATTATTATTATTATTATTAAAAAAATATATTTTATTGATTTTTTTACAGAGAGGAAAGGAGAAAGACAGAGTCAGAAACATCGATCAGCTGCCTCTTGCACACCCCCCACTGGGGATGTGCCCTCAACCAAGGTATATGCCCTTGACTGGAATCAAACCTGGGACCCTTCAGTCTGCAGGCTGATGCTCTATCCACTGAGCCACACCGGTTTTGGCTAAAACATGTATTATTAAAAGGAAATTTGCTCGGCTGATTTCATAAGTGAGCATCAACTTATGAACTAAGAGGTCACAGTTGGATTCCTGGTCAGGGCACACACCTGGATTTCAGGCTCAATCCCCAGTAAGGAGCGTGCAGGAGGCAGTTAATTCATGATTCTCTGTCATCATTATTTCTGTCTCTCCCTTCCTCTATGAAATAAATTAAAAATATTTTTTTTAAAAAAAGGAAACTTACCTTTATGTGTGGTACTCCATTTTTTATCTTTATGTTACCACCATCGTCTGTTGTATTCTCAGCTTTTCTTCATGCATCTGCTGCCCAATTTCGCTGAGTGCTGGTGGGACCAGGTGGTCCTGGACATCCTGCTGTGCAACGGCGGCGGCATCTGGCTGGGCATGGTCGTCTGCCGCTTCTTAGAGATGAGGACCTACCACTGGGCCAGCTTCAGGTGAGCCGCCCCTCTGGACAGCGTCGCAGCTTTCGCAGCGAACCGGAACTGCTGTCATTGGTGCAGCCTGCGATACGGTCTTCGATGACAAATAAATTATACACTAGTAATTGAAACTCATAAATGATTAGAAACCTAATTTCAAGCATTCATCCAGAAAGTACTAAGTCATTTATGATTTTCTCAAAACTCCTCCTTTGTACCTGTGTGCCTCAGCCTGCAAGTCAGGCTGCCATCGCTGGATTAATTAGTCCCCTCTCTCCAGGGCAACCCCTCAAAGCCTCCTCACACCACTGCTGGATTGATTTTTTTGAAGAATGTCCCATTCCCCATATCATTCCCCTATGACAGCTTCCCGTGGTCTTTAGGACAAAGTGTGCTTCCGTGGACTCAGCAGGGTACCTTTCTCCACACCCTCCAGGGTTCGGAGCGCCCTGAGCCCATGTATACACTCCCGCCGGCCTGGGATTGACCTGTGTTCCCATGGGCCTTCACTCTCCTGACCTGGCTCACTTCTTACGTCTGCAGGTAGTTGGGCCTTCACTCTCCTGACCTGGCTCACTTCTTAGGTCTGCAGGTAGTTGGGCCTTCACTCTCCTGACCTGGCTCACTTCTTACGTCTGCAGGTAGTTGGGCCTTCACTCTCCTGACCTGGCTCACTTCTTACGTCTGCAGGTAGTTGTCTCAGACTGTCTAGTTTAAGCTGCGCGTCCCTCCTCTGCCCCCGTGGGGGACAGTGCCTCTCTGAACCTGCTCCTCAGTTTGACTGGCAGGGACCATGCCATTGATAAGGAGGGAAAGCACGCGGTATTGATAATGAAAACAGTCCTTTTTAGTGTGTCCAAAACTTCATTGATTTAAATAACAAAATATGAGCATTTTCCAACAGTTAATTTAAAAAAATTTTTTTCAAAAGGTTTTTTTTTCATATCCCAACATATGGATAAACCATAAGGTATTTAAACAATTCCCTTTTATGAGCATTTTTCAGACTTTTCACTTTTATCAAAAAGTGGACATTTTTTAATATGTGCCTGTGCATATCTGATTTTTTTTTAATATAAATTCTTACAAGAAGAATATACCAATTTATGTTCTCACCTGTATACACCAATGAATATGTGTTCATTTCACTATTGCTTTGAATTTTATTTTTAAGCTTTGTCAATTTTATTATACATAAAATTGTGTGACATTAAATTTCTAGTGTATTTCTATTGGATTTTTCTCTTTTATTAGCGATTTTTCTGGATTAAGGATTTTAACATTTGTCATAAATGTGACTTTATTTTCCATTTTGACATCCTCTTTACATTTTTTTGTGGAAGTTTTGTCATTTAAACTTTAAAAGCTTTAAATCTTTTTGTTTAGGTTCATGTTAACCATATTTTCTTCTAATTCTTTAGTGGTTTAGTCTTTTTATTATAAGAAATTTTAGAATTCTTTCTTTAATCAGTGACTAGAAAGAATGCTTGTTAATATATTTAAGGCACCACATATATAATGTAACAAACTGTAGCTGTGCTGGATACTGCTCCAAGCAAGCTCTATAATTGAGCTTTCTATCAATCTTAGGGTAGACACTACATTTTTCTATATTAGGGATAACGATACAAAGATTTAGGTTTAGCAATTGCTGAAGGACATTTAACCATCGAACTGAATTTTAACCAGAGTCTGAATTTGTGTCAGATTGTCTGGCTCCTTAAGCCCTGACATAACACTTACCTATTTTCATATATTTATACTTCAAATTCAACTTGAGAATCATTTTGTCGGGTCAACAAACTAATCAACAGAAAATCCCATTGGTGCTTTTTAAAAAGTTCTATGGTTCTTTTTTAAAACTGCTTTTTTAAAATAGCACCAAAAGTTCTATTGGTGCTAATTTAAAAAAATCTATAGTCATTTTTGTATAAATGGCTATAGATTCACTTAAGTTGAATTAACAACTTCTTTACTATATGAAGTATTCCAAATCTTAATTAGGCCAAATTTCTCTATTTATTCCCCACTATCCCTGCATCTTTTGACGAAGTTTGGCCATTTTTAAAAAATACAGGACCTTCATAGTTCTGTTTATTTTGGAGAGTTTCTGTTTTGCCTACATGCTTGTTGATGGGTAGGTGAGTGAATGAGGAGCAAACCTGGTTTCCTTCCACTTCCCCCGCCTCCCTCCAAAGGAGTAAAGGCCTGACTTGTTTGCACTTGAGCCTTCAGCACTTAGCACGGTGAGACTTACAGATCCCTGATGTGCGTTGACACTGTTCACTGCTGTGGACCGGGTTTTGGCTCTCCTGCACTAGCGAGTCAGGGCTGGCGTGCACACCCGCTCTCAGGCCTGCAGAGTGAGCCTGCGTCCTCTAGTTGCTCTCTCTGAGCCTACATCTGAAATATGTGACTGTTTCTGCCATGGGCATATGACATTTTTAATTAAGTCAATTCTAGGATCAAAAATAAGGTTGCCCTTGCCGGTTTGGCTCAGTGGATAGAGTGTTGGCCTGCAGACTGCAAGGTTCCAGGTTCGATTCTGGTCAAGGGCATGTACCTTGGTTGCGGGCACATCCCCAGTGGGGGATGTGTAGGAGGCAGCTGATCTATGTTTCTCTCGCATCAATGTTTCTAACTCTCTATCTCTCTCCCTTCTTCTTTATAAAAAAAACAATAAAATATATATGTATATATTTTAAATAAGGTTAAAATTCGCAGCTCACTTACCTGAGGGAGAAACAGGGTGCAGTGAAGACGTGGAGACGGTGAGAATGTGGAGCATGCTCTCCTACTAAGACGCCTCGGCCTGGGAGGCAAACAGTGGTGCTAGTCGGATCCTTGCTGGCACCCTTCTCCTCCCTGCCTGGGTCCAGAACTTGGTCTCCAGTGCCTCTCAGCTCCTTTCGTTGGCATTCACCAAGCAAGGCCCCTCCTGGCTCTGCGGGGCTGGGCTCTGCGGTGCCATCATCCCGGACCTTCCCCCGGGCGTGACCCGTGCAGAGGGGCCCATGGTGCGGAGCCAGATCTCAGAGAAAGGCCTCCTCTGTGCGGGGCACTGGTTGTAAGCAGTCAACGCCGAGGCTCTTCTGTTGTTCGTTTTTTCTTGTTTTGGGGTTTTTGTTCTTCCCCTTTCTTATCTCTTCGGATTCTCACTGGAGCTGTTCTCTTCTTACAGGGACATCCACACCACCACGGGGAAAATCAAAAGAGCCGTGCTGCAGTTCACGCCTGCCAGCTGGACCTACGTTCGATGGTTCGACCCCAAGTCTTCATTTCAGAGGGTGGCTGGGATATACCTGTTCATGATCATCTGGCAGGTATGCTTTCAGATGCCCTCAGCCAGGGGAAAAATAAAACTATCCAAGAATTTAGAGGTGATGCTAGTTGACATTGCTTACCAGCTAGGTGCTTCATCATGAAGGCATTTTAAAATATGAGTCTTTGAATGGCAAATAAGGAACAAATTAAAATTTCCCTAAAGGACCTCATAGTAATCATCCATCACCCAAAGAGTTAGGTATTGGATTGCTTTTTAGAAAGATCATTTTCAGGACCAAATTAACAAATGCAAGGCTTTTTTGTTTGTTTGTTTCAAATTCAATGTGTGATTTTTAAAATTGTGTCTAGGCTGTTGCCACTTTCAGTAATTTATTTTATTTTATTTGTTTAAATATGTTTTCATTGATTTGAGAGAGAGAGAGAAATCAATGATGAGAGAGAATCATTGATCGGCTGCCTCGTATGCCTTTTACTGGGGATCAAACCCGCAACTGAGGCATGGGACCCGACCAGGAATTGAACCAGGACTGTCCCAGCAGATCACACACATGACCCAAGTGACAACTGTGTGAACCAGGAAGCATGACAAGTAGCTGGTGCCCCCAGGTGTTTCTCCTAGCACCCCAGTACCTCCCTCTTGCCCCCTGCTGGCTGATGCCCATGTTGTACCAGCTATTACAAGTCTCAATAACGACCCTTGGAAGACCCCATGTGTTCTCTGAAAATGCTTTGAACATACCAGTTAGTTTTAGTTGTAGACTTCCCATAAGGCAGTGTTTCCCAAAGTGTGGTACGCGTACCCCCCGGGGTACGGGAAGAGTTTGGTGGGGGTCCGCGTTGCACCGGAGTTTGTTGGGAATATGCACTGCACCATGCTTAAGCTGCGCCTAATTCTACGTTCTCATGAGTACTAGGGGTACTCAGCGTTACGAAAACTATAGGAGGGGTACACATATGTCAAAAGTTTGGAAAACACTGTCATAAGGGAATGAGTATATGATTATGACTTAGAATGAAGTATCAGGTTGACGGATGCCTCCTCCTTTTTCAGCTGACTGAGTTGAACACCTTCTTCTTGAAACATATCTTTGTGTTCCAAGCCGGTCATCCACTGAGCTGGTGTAGGATTCTCTTTATTGGTGGCATCACGGCGCCCACAGTGAGGTAAAGCTTTGTACGTCTCACTGCCACGTGAGCATGTTAACCTGCTTTGTATTCTCCTGTTTGGCATAAGGGAAGTCACATAAACTAGCAGATTCCCCAGGAAACTATCATTGTAAAGAATTATATGTTCATAATATGAAGAAAATGTTTTGCTCAGACGTCAGTAACAGAAGTGAATAATCAAAATAACATCATTTTCAAACCCCTTATAATCTTCAGGGCTTATTTAAAAAAAAAAAAAAATGAGTAGCAGTGATGTTGAGGTTTCCTTTTTAATGAGATTATTGAAAAATACAAATGTTTTTATGGTAAATCTGAAATCACAGATGATGTTATTTTTCTTATTTACAGTTGACATTCGATATATATTTTTTATTGTATTTGTATTGGTTTCAGAGAGGAAGGGAGAGGGAGAGAGAGACAGAAACATCAATGATTAGAGAGAATCATTGATCAGCTGTTTCCTGCATGCCCTACACTGGGGGTTGAGCTCACAACCTGGGCATGTGCCCTGACCGGGACTCAAACTGTGACCTCCTGGTTCATAGGTTGACGCTCAACCACTAAGACACATTAGCTGGGCAAAGATCTGAATTCTTTATCACTTGAATTCTTCATCAGGGTCTTTGAGGTGAAGAGATGATCGTTCATGGATGAGCTTTAGGTATAAGTGAATCCCCTGAAGTTTGATGCAAAATTCTGTGTTTTATATGCCTTTATAGATAGCTTTCATAAATCCTCAGAGTTTGTTATCTCAGACACGATGATGAACTCCTGGTTCAGGTGCAGCTTCTGAAGGGATGGGTTGAGCACATTTCGATGTGGACTGGAATGTGGCCAGTCCACATCGAAATGTGCTATAATGTAAAGTACCCTGCACTGTGGAGACCCAGTACAAACACAACATAGAGCACTTCTTTATAATGTTTTCAGTATGTTGGGTTAATTCACTTAGATTATGAAAGTGAATTTCATCTTTCCTTTTTGCATTCTTATGTGGCTATTAATTGCGTTTGTGGCTTGTCTTGTATTTCTTTTGGGTAGATGCTGTTCTAAGTCTTTCAGCTCTATATCATTGACCACCTACTTTTCTCTCTCAATCTTGTCAACTCAAAATCGTTGGCATTTAGTGACTGCAAGGTGCCATTCTGGCTTCTGAGAGCCAGGAAATATCTATGTTTTTTGCCTGGCTACCATCAGCCACCTTGGCCTGGAGTGAGCCAGAGGAGACAGTTAATGACAGCGCGGGTGACTCTCAGAATCGCCTCCATAGCGGGGGACTGAGGCACCCACTAGGGCTGCTTTGGCTCAAGGCTCTGGGAGCCTGTCCCTGGACCAAGACCATCTTTGCCAATAACCTGGCCCTTTAAACCAGGCTCCCCTCCTTACATCCCAGCCCAAACTCCTAACTTCTCACAGGGACATTCCAACAGTCACCAGCTTCCCAGTTCCTGGAGTAGAACTAGACCAGGCAGCTGGAGTATATGGAGGAGGGCAGGACATCTGTATATTCATCTGTCACAGTAACTTAATTCCACGTTGACCGGCTGGCTTACAGAAGCTCAGTGAATGCCCCCTTTGTCCTTTCAGACAGTACTACGCTTACCTCACCGACACGCAGTGCAAGCGCGTGGGGACTCAGTGCTGGGTGTTTGGGTAAGTGCCTGCCGCTGGGGAGGTTTAAAAGCTCGTTCGCCTCTACATCGCTTCTGCTATTTCTTGACCCGGTGTTGAATGCCTTTCAATGCGATTTTCCTAGGAAGGCTTGCTGATGTTTTTAGATGGCTTTCATTTGTGGAGTTTTTTTTTTTTTTTTTTAACCTTAGTTCTTTTTATTCTCAGAAGGTGAAGTATAAAATACAGTGAATTAGATAATTACTTTATAATTCCTTTAAATTAAGATAGATTGGAGAAACCAAGGTGGCAGCGTAGGTAAACAACTGGTCTGCCGCCTCGCACAACAATTTCAAAATTAAAACTAATATACAGGACGTCTATCACCCAAAAACACGGGAAGGCTGGCTGGAAGAGAAAGGAGTGCAAGAGCTGAAAAGCAGAGGAGCCTCGGTACCGATGCATGCGAATCGGGCTGGTGGCAGGCGACTGGGCGCGCGGCCTTTTTTTTTCCAACCCAAAAGGAAACAAGCTCCTGATCACTTTGAAATCCAGTTTCTGGGGTCACGTGGGGGACCCAGACGCCTATGGGGAGAAGCTGGACTGTCGGCCATTGGGTCCGAAAGTGAGGGCGACTCTCTTGCAGAGGTGAGAGCAGCAATCACTGTTTACTGTGCTGGATCGCAGGGACGCGGGGACTTGGGAACATGGAAGGGCAGAGACAGCTGACTGCAGCCATCACTGTTAGCCACGCCCCAGCCAAGTGACGTTCTGAGACCCCGCCCCACCCTGAAGCCCCGCCCACCCATTCTACAGACCTGCCCGAGCACCACAGAGCTGCTTTTGCATATAAATGGCCTATATTGTGGCAGCTTAACGAAATAAACTGCAGCTCCAGCAACAAAACCGCCAAGTCCCAAGCAATCAGGAGAAAACTGTAGTTCTTGTGGTAGCCCCTGCTGGGTGGCCTCAGACAGTAGCTGAACTGCTCCCCATTAGATCCAGAAACTAGTGTATCTAGTGGTCAGTGTGAGATGACACTAGATTTCAACTACTCTCATAAGGGACACATTCAAGAGACAGACTCCCCTATCCCGGCCAAAACTTTGAGGACCTAGGCTCATACAGGTGGAGTCCGGACTGTAGAGAAAGGCACCTGGAGACTCAGAGTCTGGGAGACTAGGGGAGGCAGGACCTGCAGTGGGCAGAGTCTATAGTCACATGCGAGTAAGTGCTCACAGAGAGGTCTGACGACGGAGGTTGCCTCAGTTTCTCAAAAGCAGAAGGAATCAGAAGCTCCAGACTACAGAGACCCAACCCAATTCTGGGCAAGCCCCTGGAGCACCCACGCTTTTGCATGGGGAATCTGAGACAGGCAGAAACTCAGGGGAGCAGCAGAAGGCAGAGGTCAGAGGCTTGCACACAAGGGCAGGGCTGACGGGAAGCCAAGACTGTCAGCTCAACCCTGAGACTCTGCCCCATCCAAGCTGAGCACAGAGACTTTTGCAATTTTGCAAGTCTGATCCTATAAGACTGTCTCCAATACAGAAGGTATCCCGGAGTAGACACAGCTGGTACATCCAATGGGCCTGAAGGTCAATTCCTCCCAGTGATACCAACAACAATCAAGTCTTAACTACAACAAGGCTGTACACGCAGTCCACAAAGGAGAGCACCAACAGTGTCTACCTCAGGTAACTGGGGAGGCTGACCCACTGGGCCATATAGGACACCAAACACACAAAGTGATCCTACCAATTCTGGGAAGCAGCAAAAATGCTGGGACAAGGAAATAGATCTCAAACGAAAGAGAGGGAGAAGAACAAAAGACTGGATATAGAGTTCAAAACCACAGTTATAAGGTTTTTCAAGAATTTCCTAGAAAAGACCGATAAAATAAATGAGACCTTTGAGGATATGAAAAGGGATCAAATAGAAATAAAGCATACACTGACTGAAATAAAAAAAATTATACAGAGTCCTAAAAACAGACCGGAAGATTGCAAGAATCAAGTCAAAGATTTGGAACACAAAGAGTCAGAGGACACTCCCCCACAGAAGTGAGAAGAGAAGGGAATCCAGAAAGTTGAAGATAGTATAAGAAGCCTCTGGGACAACTTCAAAGGAACCAACATCAAAATTATGGGGGTCCCAGAAGAAGAGATAGAGCAAGATACTGAAAACCTATTGGAAGAAATAGTTACGGAAAACTTCCCCCACCTGGTGAACGAAATAGACTTACAAGGACAGGAATTGCACAGAACCCCAAAAAAAGGAATCCAAAGAGGACCACACCAAGACACATCATAATTAAAATTCCAAGAGCAAAAGACAAAGAGAATATTAAAAGGAGCAAGAGAAAAGCAGTTAGTTAGCTATAAAGGAGCACCCATACAATTTTCAGCTGATTTCTCAACAGAAACTATGCAGGCTAGAAGGGAGTGGCAAGAAATATTAAAAGTGATGAATAGCGAGAATTATTCCCCCAACCCTGCCAAAAGCCCTGGACCCAGGCTCAACTAAGATTACTGTAGCCAGCAAAGTTATCATTCAGAATTGAAGGGCAGATAAAGAGCTTCACAGATAAAAAGCTAAAGGAGTTCATCACCACCAAACAAGTATTATATGACATGCTGAAAGGTATTCTTAAAGAAGAAAGAAAAGAAAAGAAAAGAAAAGAAAAGAAAAGAAAAGAAAAGAAAAAAGAAAAAGAAAGATAAAAATTATAATTAACAAATACATATATATCAACAAGTTAATCTAAAAACCAAGTGAATTAAAAATCTGAGGAACAGGTCTGCATAGCTAGTCTGTCCTGTTGTTCACAGCTTCCATAACCCGGGGCTGTCACATCTATCAAGTATAAATTGAATGCAAATCAAAACGACAATGTGGTATCATCTCACACCTGTTAGAATGGCTATCATCAACAAATCAACAAACGACAAGTGTTGGTGAGGATGTGGAGAAAAAAGAACCCTCGTGCACTGCTGGTGGGAATGCTGACTGGTGCAACCACTGTGGAGAACAGTGTGGAGTTTCCTCAAAAAACTGAAAATGGAACTCCATTTGAACTCAGTGATTCCACTCTTAGTAATATAACCTAAGAAACTGGAAACCCAATAAGAAAGGATATATGCACCTCTATGTTCATAGCAGCACAATTTACAATAGCCAGTATTTGGAAACAGCCTAGGTGCCCATCAGCAGATGACTGGATCAGAAAATTATGGTGCATCTACACAATGGAATAGTATGCTGCCATAAAAAAGAAAGAATTCTTACCATTTGCAGCAGCCTGGATGGAATTGGGTAACATCATGCTAAATGAAATAAGCCAGTCAGTGAAAGAAAAACACCACATGATCTCACTCATTTATGGATAATAAAGAAAATTATAAACTGTTGAACAAAAAGATAGATACAGAGACAGTAAAGCATCAAACAGAATGTCAAATTACAGTGGGAAGATTAGGGAGAGGTGGGGGAGATAAGAGATTGACTGAAAGACTTATGTGCATGCATAGAAGCATAACCAATGGACACAAAACTCTGGGAAGAGAGGGCATGCATGGGAGTGGGGTGGGGGGACAATGGTAAGATGTGTACACATGTAATACCTTAATAAAAAATGAAAAGAAAAAAAAGGGATTTAAAAATAAATAAATAAAATGTAAATTGAATCATAGTGATTCCTAGGGGGCCTGCAACCCATGTTCCTCTAAAACTCAATGCTGCCCCTCCCCTCACTCTGGGCCGCCCCACTGCCCCCCTTCCCACCCAGTCTTTGCTCAGTGGTCATCCCCACTGAGAAGGCCACATGCATGGACACTGGCTTAGCCCAGAGTCCTTAGCATAGGAGCAAAGCACTTCCTAAAACTGGTGACTGACAAGTTCAGGCCATTATGAAGTCAGCTGTGAGGTCCGGACCTTCTATTAAACATATATGTGTATATATGATTATGTAGTATATGTAATACACACACACACACACACACACACAATTGGCCAATATGGGGATCAGGGGCATCAACCCCTGAAGTTGACAATTTGCATATCACTCTTAACGCCCCCAAACGTAACTGCTAGTCGCCTGCTGTTGAACAGAAGGCTTTCCGATGACATAAACAGTGAGCACATATCTCTATGCTATATGTATTGTATATGCACTCTTACACTAAGCTAGAGAAAAGGAAGTGTTACTAAGAAAACCATAAGGAAAATACATTTACAGTATTTATTGAGATAAGTGGACGCACACAGTCCAAACCCGTATTGTTCAGGCGTCAGCTGTGTTTTATGTGGGAAGTGCAGTGGGGTAGAACGGTGTCATTTTGTGGGGGACCTGCTACCGCTGTTTGGGGTGGAAATCCTGCGCACTTCTTAATGGAATAATGCATTTTTTCTGGGAAGGTATATGCTCTGATACTGGGAATTTAACCTCTTATTCTTTGTTACAGGGTCATTGCTTTCCTGGAAGCTATTGTTTGCATAAAATTTGGACAAGATCTCTTCTCTAAGACACAGATACTCTATGTTGTGCTTTGGCTTCTTTGCGTGGTAAGTCATTACTTTTCTTACCCAAAGGGTTAGCTAAACTCCCCACACCTCTTTTGTGTACCAAGGTTTCTTAGAAGTTCATAGACAGGATATTCCATTTGTAATAACCTAGGGATGGTCACCAGTCTCAAGTTCAAGAATAAACGCACAGAACCACATGGCAGGCGGAATGGGTGTCCTTCGCGGGTCCCGGTCAGAGTCCTCTGCAGGCGCCTCGTACATGCATTCATTTTACTTATAACGGGAATTCATCTACACACGCAGAGCATCCCTGCAGCTCCATCGTCCTCGGACCCTTCCCTCACCTCTGATGGGAAGTGAGAGCTTACCTCGCTTACACATTGCGACTGTCCTCCTTAACGTAGGTGTTTTATTGTTTTGGAGAAAAGTCTTATTTTACATGTAAGCTTAGGATTCTTTATTCACGTGGTCTAGAAGATTAATTTGCACTCCTTTATAATCACTGAGAATTCTAATGTGTTTGGACCTAGATAGAGTAGATGACCCTTATGTACCCATTATTGATTCAGTTCCAACAATTACCAGCTCACAGCCAGTTTGGTTTCCTTCTGTGTCCTACTCATTATGTCCACCCCAAATTATTTTGAAGCAGATCCACCTGTAATATTTCGGGATGTATCTCTAAAAGAAGAAAAAAAAATGCCTTTTTTTGTTTGTTTATTTAATGCAACCACCATATCATTATTACATTTGAAAAAGCATTAGCAATAATTCCTTAACATTATCAAATATCTAATCAAAGTTCGGATTACTGACTTAAATTTCGGATTGCTGTTCTTAAATTTTGTATCAGGAAAATGTATTTGAATCAGTACCCACCTTTAACAATCGTTGGCATGCCTCTTTAAGTCTCTTTAATTTATAATTCCCTTCTATCTCTTGCTCTCTCACCTTTGCAGTTTACTTGTTGAAGAAACCAGTTCCTTTGTCCTGTAGGTTTTCCCACGGTCTGGATTTTCCTGATTTCATCCTGTATGTAATGGAATAGATTTCTTTGTCCTCTATATTTTCTATAAATTGGTAGCTGAATCTAGAGGCTTAATCAGATTCAGGTCTTATTTTTTTGCAAGACTAAACTTTGTATTTTTAAGTGTTTTTTGTTGCCTTTCACGGTTTCTATTTTTGGGGTTACTTGTGAGAAATGCTAACTGTGCCAGGGTACCTGGGGCCGGTTCTGCCCTGTGTTAGCTCGAACAACCAGAGGAAACAATGGTTTCCTTTGTACTGAAACTCCAGAGTTCACACTCTGCCTCCCTGAGCATCCATGCAGGGATAGGGAGGAGAGGTGCAGATGGGCGTGGAGATTGTAACAAGTGCTGTGACCGCAGGTGTGTGACCTGTAGTGTGGCTGACTGCCTCACCTGGTGCCAGGGGGATCACAGAGAGTGGAGGCAGGGGGACTCCTGGGACGTGGGCAGGTGTCCAGCCACCCCCTCGACCCCTCAGTGCATCCGTGACCTCCGACCGTGCCCAGGAAGCCTGCTCTGGTCACCCCACCTACAGGGACCCCACAGTCTCTGCTTAAGTTGTAGAGACCTGCTCTCTGTTTTACTTATGAACTTCACATAGGCCTCCTTACCTTGGTGATTTGGGATTTGCATTGGTGTCTGTGACTGTGTAAGGACACGAAGCACTTCTGGTCCTCCCTTCGACCTCCCCCACTTAGCAGGGTTCCTGCGTGTTTGTTCTTCCTTCACACATTTCCTGAGTGCTCGTCACGCTGCACCCGGTGAGGGCGCCCACAGGTGGATGGTGGGATGAGAATTAGTGCTCACCCTGCGCAGACGCTGTTCTGAGCCCTGCTCATGAATGGCACAATTCTCTACGCGGTGAGGGGAGGCACTATTAGCCCTTTTATTGGTGAATGAATAAAGGCTCAGGGAGGTTCATACTTGCCCCAGTCACACAGGGTAAGTGGCAGAGGGTGCCCCTCCAAGGGTCTCCACATCGGGACGGGAATTATCTGTACAAAGGGATGATGTTAACGTGTGCTAAGCATCACGGAGGACTTGTACACGGAGCTGAAGGAGCGCTGGAGAGAGCACATAGGAGGTGGGAGTTGGCCGGGGCTCCCAGGAGGTAATGAGTGAGCAGGACTGAGGGGTCCCGTGAACAGCTCTCCCATCCCTCAGGTGCCCGCTCCTCTCCTCTGTCACTCTCTGGTCTGCAGGTCACCAGGTGCTAGTCATCCACCCAGGTGGCTCAGCTCCACCCTCTTCCCGCTGCCCGTGTAGCCGTCCGCACACCAGGTTCTCCATCCTGCCCTTCAGATCCATCCTCCACACTGCCGCCCCCGGGTGATCTTCCCGAATTCCAGTCCCAACCCTTTCCCTGCTCGGAATCTCAATCTCCCCCTGTTGTCGGGGGCTGGAGAGGCCCAGTCGTACAATGTTGTCCTCCCCGCAGAAGGAGGGAGAGAGAGCGGAAGGAGGACCTGCAGATCAGAGGAGCAGCATCGATCGGATCGGCTGCCTCCTGCAGGGCCCCAACTGGGGACCAAGCCCACAGACCCGGCTGCCTGTGCCCTGACGGGAAGTGAACTGTGACCTCCTGGTTCATAGGTCAACACTCAACCACTGAACCCACCAGCTGGGCTCATGGCCATTTCTAAAGATCAAGATTGATCTCAAACTCAGGAGTGAGGCCAACACGACTCACTACAGGCATGTTAAGTATGTGCACCGGCCTCCCACGTGACTGCGAGGAACGGAGCCCTCCTCTTCCGCTCGCTGGGGGAGAACATGCTGGGACGGTAGGTTAGCTTAGCGGCTAGACCAGCGGGAGAGAGGGTGGCCTGCTGGCCTCAGCGGGTGTCGGTGCGGTGAGCTGGGACCTGCGTTGTCCTGACCTGGAGGCCGCCTGGTTTGACACCCTCAGTGCCGGCACAGCCTTGGCGCTCATCCCACACGTTTTTCTCCTCTTTCTTATTTTATTTCCTTTCTTTAAGCAAAATCTGTACAGTTGCTGTTTTAAATTTAGGCCTTGACATTTTTAGTGGGTACTTGCCTAGATTTCCACAGGTGTGATTGCAAACCCCAAATTATAAGCTTTTGTCTCCTGGGACGAGTGCTGTGCTGATAAGCAGCTCCCCCCCTGTCTGCTCAGCCTGCCCCCTGCAGAGTTGTCTGCTGAGCTGCCCTCCCAGGGCTGGGGTGGGGCTGGGGACTGAAGCAGATGAGCCTCTCACACCTGCCCTCTGGTGGACAAAATTTGAAATGACAGCGCAGCCCTCACTTCCCATTGGCCTAGTGGAGTGACCTTTCTCTGGGCTGCCTCCCCACTCTGCTGCATAGCCACCTACTGGTCTCAGAAGGAGGGACCCATCCTCCCAACCTTCGGTGAAGCGTAGATGGCCTGTTTTGCTCCTTGGAAAGGACCTAGCACATACAGAGGCCAATACGCTGCACACTCTCCCACTCTCCCAAACCTTGAAGGTGGTCCTTCAGTGGGTGGTGTATGTTAGAAATCTGAGCGTGTGCTAGAATGTGGTAAAGATGAGAAGTTTTTCTTTTATAGTTTTAATACATCCGTTCATTGCCTAGTTTTTTGATGGGGGAATGTGAGCCTTTGTTCTTTAGGTCTCACATCTGTAGGTGGATGCCAAACAATCCAAACTGCATGTGGATTTAATGTAAATGGCCTGGTGTCCTGTGGGTTCCATGTTCCCTCCATCAGGCTGCTCTTCCCACTTCCCTGGTCCCCCCAGGCTCTTAGTTATTCACAGATACTTAGGAAAGATTGGTAACGTAAAGGAGCTGGGCTGAAGCTAAACTACCAGCCGTTGTGCAGAGATTTCACCCTGCCTCCCGCACTGGGGCGCCTCCCTCCCTCCCTCCCTCCGGGGCAGGGCTGATGCTGGATGCTGTGGGTATTGGCTGTTCCTGTGGTGCTTTCCCTTCTGGGGCTGGGTGAGTGGAGGGCTAGCGGGCAGAGATGCGAAGATGAACGGGCATGAAGCCCTGTTTATCCCGACAGCCATCCCTGCGCCTTGGGAGGGGGGTATTCGTAGGCCTGGGTTCTGGCTCCCGTTCGGCCGCACACGCGCTGTGTGTCCTCCTCAGGGTTGTGAAAGGAGAGACTCGATATGAATGAGCTGTGTGGTGACCCTTGTAGCTCTGAAGCTACGGTTCTCAGAAACAGCGAAAAGCGTTCCCCGGGAAGAGAAGCTCCCGTGACGCCACGCCTGTTCCCACGCCGGGCCGAGGTGTGGGTCCTCGGCGGGAAGGCGGGTCCGGCCGGAGGCTGGGCGGTGAGAACGGCGCCTGAAGAAGGCGTTCTGTCAGAGGAAGTGGACAGGGCCTTTTTACTTCTCCTGACTTGCCTGTCTTCCCAAGCAGCAAAATCAAAAGCCGCCAGAACCGGGGCCAGCGTGGGCCACCGAGGCAGTGGGCACCGGAAAGGCTGTGCAGGCCGGGCAGCAGCGGCCGGCGTGCTCCCCCGGCTGTCTGCCCCGAATGCTTCCAGTCCGGGACCCAGACAGCGAAACTGCCCTTGTGCAGAGGCCCTCTTCCCCTGGGCGGCGACAGACGGATCCTCACGACCCTCCCCGGGGACAGGGCGGCCTGGGCGAACCCTGTGTCCTGAGCAGAACGGGGTTCGTTCCGCTAGGAGAGCCACAGTCGGGGCTGCTCGCATAGCCTCCCGGCAAAGCCTCTGCGATGCTCCAGCTCCGCTCCGCCCCAGCCGCCTCCTGTGAACTCCCGCGGACACCCGGGCTCTGGGCGTGGGTCTGCACAGCAGCGCTGACCACACGTGCCGTTTCCCTTGCAGGCCTTCACCACCTTCCTGTGCCTGTACGGCATGGTGTGGTACGCCGAGCACTGCGGCCACCGAGGAAAGGTAGGCGGGGCGGGGCGGGGCGGTGAGCGGGGCCCGGGCGGGCTCCTGGGAGGACACGGGCCTCAGCCTGTGGGCACCCGACCAGCCCGCTTCCCTCCCGGCCGGTGGCTGTGTCTGCTGTAACGCCTTGTCCATATGCCAGCATATTCACCCTCCTCTGGAAGAGGTTTAGGACTTGTTTGTTTGTGTCAAGCATGTGGGAGAGCCCGGGTCACTTTTGGGAAGGCTGCCTCTGATCCCCAGCCCTTCCACTTTGTCCCGCCTCCTCCTGGGCCCAGCCCGGGATTCTCCCTGTGATACGCCTGCCCGCCAGCCCGCCCCCAGTAGATGCAAGGATTAGCGAGAGGATGGGTGTATGCGGGCTTAAAGCGCTAGAGCAGTCCTGTCAACTGTAATTTCTTTTTTTTAAGTAACACCTTTCGCTCTTTATTCATCATACCTTGAGTCTAAGGAACAAAAAGTAACTTTCTAGAAGCGTATCCTGCATCACCCGGGAGATAACCTTGGCTTCCTAGCTGAGAATAGAAGCTGGAGGAGGTCCTGGCCTGGGTGTGGTGACCGAGCCGCTGGGGAGGGCAGGGCCTGTCACCCGCCCGCCCAGGGAGGTCCCCACTCCTCACCCAGCCGCCCCTTCTCTCCGCAGACTTACTCCGAGTGTGAGGACGGCAGCTACAGCCCGGACATTTCCTGGCCTCACGGGAAAGGCACAAAAGGTACCTCTGTTCTGCTCACTGCCTAAAACTTCCTGGGTCCTGCCCTGCCCGAGGCCCAGAAAGGACACTGAGGGCCAGCATTTCGCTTCTGTGTGCTGACAAGCATGTGCTCGGACGGTCTCAGGCTCATCGGCGCCTCCGTTCCTTTAAGGAACATGCATGTACTGGCAGGCTCTGCCCAGGAAGGATCATGCATGTGCTGGCAGGCTCTGCCCAGGAAGGAACATGCTTAAGAGGAGGCGCCGATGGTTCTGCCTCCTTTGAGGCAGGCAGGCGTCACGGCCCCACGTCTCAGCTTCCCCCGGGAGTGTTCTCCCTCCGGCTTTAACCTGAGTTAAAGGCTTAGGAAGGCCCGTGTCCCGAGAGGAACGCCTTTCTGAAGGGGTAGATGGGTGGCCCATTTGTCCCAGAGGCAGGCGGCAGGAGAGGGATGTCAGCGGTGAAGTCAGGGATCTCCTGCTGGCCTCTCTCCAAGGAGCGTTTGGGGAAGATTTGGGGCCACTCGTTATTTTAAAGAATTAGGGACGCGAAATAATGGCACTGAGACGCCCTACTGGACAGCAGTTCCTCTGAGCCCACTGGGAGGCCTGACTGAAGGCGAGAACCAAGCCTGGCCGAGGTTCAGCTCCGAGAGTCACTGCCCAGAGGATCTCCCCAGAAAGAACGGGGAGAGGAAGGCGGTGTCCTGGCTGCCCTCCCGAGTTCTTTGGGGTTCAAGCCTCTCCGAGCTCTCCCTCCGGATGACACTGGCATACACCCCCCTGCACTGGCGCGCACACACACACACACCCCACGCCCACACACACACACACGTTGAGATGGTTTCAGAGTGGTAAAAGTCCTGTGGACTAAGCCAGATGCCCCTTATCGTGGAGGCCAGCACCCTCTGAGCTTCCTTCGTGGTGGTCTCAGGTGGAGCCCCCCTGGGGCGGGGGCTGAGCCCGGGACAGACAGCCTTCTGGCTTGGCCGTGAGGCCAGGAGATGGCCATGTACATAGCCCGAGAGCAGAGCCTACCCAATGCCAGAAAGTTGGCTGACCTCCCAAGCCTTACACATCTCTCCCTGGAGCGTCTCTCCCACACACCCCGCCATCTCCCAGGCCCTCCCTCCGCCCTACAGTGCAGGCTGATTGACTGCTCAGCACTCAGCTGGCTAGAGGTCTTTCTCTGAAACACCCCCCCCCCCCCCCCAGCCTGACAGCGAGGTGGTGCTGTCCTCGTAGGCGGCGCCTCTTGAGGGCAGGTGATATCTTCGCTGCGTGGCTCCAGCCCTGTTTGTCCTGAGCAGATCTGTGAAGTGGCCTCCAGGTCACATGACGGAGGGCATGTGATCTGTTTAACCTTGTAAAGCCAGCAAGCCTGTCCAGTTTAGGGGTTTGGAGATGGGTGTGTAGCGAGTCCAGGTGAGGGAACCTGGATCGCGCACTCTGGCTGCGAGGGTAGACTTGACCCCCATGCGGTTTCCCTTTTCATTGCCCTCCCCTGTGCTTTGGTTTCATTCGTGCGCTCACTTCTGGCTCCATCACCTCACCCTGCACATCATGCGAGTGTAGGAATTCTCGGGGCCGCCACCCCATTTCCCCCCAGGCTGTGTGCTCTGGGGCTCAGCTCCGGGGCCTCCCTGCCTTGCCTTCATTTATATATTAACGAGGCCACTAGGTGGCGCGCAAGGACCAGTGGAAGAGCCCGCCCTTCACCCCCCGGCCGGGCGGCTGGGCAGCCACAGCCCTGAGTGAGCCACGGTGTCAGTGACCGTTCGTTCCTCTGGCAGGTTCTGAAGACAGGCATCCAGGCAACAGCGAAAGCCACTCTTCCCGAAGGAGGAACCGACATTCCAAGTCCAAAGTCACCAACGGCGTTGGGAAGAAATGAAAGACCCGGTTGGTCCGAGGTGTCCGGAGAGTGCCTAGAACGGAGAGGGACTCCGGTCATTGCACCCCCCGCCAGGAGGGCACGGACGGCGCGGACGGAAGAGGAGAGGGGACCCCGGGGGTGTCACTATCTGAGGGCGTCAGTCTTTCCCACGGCCACGGCCACGGCCACGGCCACGGCAGGCAGGCGCTGCCCGGGGCCCTGTGCCGAGGCGGGTCCCTCCTCCAGGTCCGCACTTGGCACGCGGTCACCAGCAGCAAGCGGGACACGGGTTCGAAGGAAAAAGCCGCTGCCCTCACCGCTGCCAAGAGCCACGCGTCCCTCGCCAGGGGGATGGCCTCAGAGCTGATGGCCCCGGGCGTTAGGAACCTGCCTTCCCACTCCATTGGTTTACACTCAGGCCGCCTGTCTGTGTTTTATTTTGTTGTTTATTTTTAAGTCCGGATGCTTGACCGCCCTCAAGCCACTGCTGGAGCTGAACTGGGGAGGGCCCGTCTTGTAGGCGAAGGGAAAGGAGGGCTTTTGCGTTACTGAGCAGCCACCCTCACCCCCCTGTTAGGCCTGACACCTCCCAGCAGGTGTGACCCAATCTGAGGGGAGGGCAGCCGCCTACCAGGGGCCTGGGCTTCTGGTCGGAACCAGTTTGGTCCCGGTGGGACCCTCCCCGGCCACACTCCCCCACAGTGCACTCAGCGGGCCTGCTGGGGGCCGCCCCTCCGCAGCCAGGTGCCTTTGCCGTTCGTTGTTTCCTCCGTGGCGTGTCGCTGACATTGTCTCTTGCTCCGTGTGAGGTGCTGGTGAGTGCTCCCTTCTCCACACCAGGCTCCCCCCTCTGCCAGCGCCTGTTTCCAGAAAAACAATCCACATTAAAGCCTGTCCAAGACCTGTCTGCCAGGTGCTCACTCTCTGCCTCCTCTGGTCTGTTCCCTGCTTATCAGCAACCCGTGCCCTTACAGGGACCCTAGGAGCAGGTGGCTGTGAGTGCTCTATGTAGACGTATAGACACCCGCGGAAAGCAGCCTTCTGTTCCCTCCCTCGCAGAGCACGAAGGTTTCCACGTCTTTTCTCCCGCTAAGGGAACCTTTAACCGTGGGAGTGTCACGTTTTCCTTTTTCTGCAGAAGAATTCCGGGTGAAGGGGCTCAGAGAGTCACGCAGGCGGGTCACGGCCTGGGTCTGGGCCTCTGGCGGCACTTGGCTGAGGGTCAGCGAGGAAGGGCCGCCACGGGGGCTGCTGTGTGCGGTGCGGGCCGCGGCCTTGGGAGCCCCGAGGCGAGGCAGCGAGCTGCTCGTCTCAGAGCTGTGCCCGCCAGCCCGGCTGGTGTGGCTCAGTGGTTGAGCACCGGCCCATAAACCAAGAGGGTTTCTGGTTGGGTTCCTCAGGGCACATGCCCAGGTTGTGGGCTCCACCCCCAGGAGGGGGTGTGCAGGAGACAGCAATTCATGTTAGTCGGAGTTTCCGTCTCCCTCTCCCCTCCTCTTTTTCTAAAAACCAATTAAAAACATTAAAAGAGAGAAATGCGCCCGGGGATGTTGGAACCCCCGCGAGCAGGCCTCTGGGAAACAGGCGGGAAACACGGTGTCGGGTGAATGGAGGTGAATGTGATTTCTGCACTTCGCTGGCCGCACTGAGGACTTCTGCGTCTCCCACACACGTCTGCCTCCTCCCACACACGTCTCCTTCCTCCTACACGTCTCCCTCCTCCCCATGTCTCCCTCCTCCCACACGTCTCCCTCCTCCCACACATATCTGCCTCCTCCCACACATGTCTTCCTCCTCCTACACGTCTTCCTCCTCCTTATGTCTCCCTCCTCCTACACATGTCTCCCTCCTCCCGCACATGTCTCCCTCCTCCCGCACATGTCTCCCTCCTCCCACACGTCTCCCTCCTCCCACACATATCTGCCTCCTCCCACACATGTCTTCCTCCTCCTACACGTCTCCCTCCTCCCCATGTCTCCCTCCTCCTACACATGTCTCCCTCCTCCCACACATGTCTTCCTCCTCCTACACGTCTCCCTCCTCCCCATGTCTCCCTCCTCCCGCACATGTCTCCCTCCTGCACATGTCTCCCTCCTCCCCATGTCTCCCTCCTCTCGCACATGTCTCCCTCCTGCACATGTCTCCCTCCTCCCGCACATGTCTCCCTCCTCCCGCACATGTCTCCCTCCTCCCGCACATGTCTCCCTCCTCCCGCACATGTCTCCCTCCTCCCGCACATGTCTCCCTCCTCCCGCACATGTTTCCCTCCTCCCGCACATGTCTCCCTCCTCCCGCACACGTCTCTCTCCCGCACATGTCTCCCTCCTCCCGCACACGTCTCCCTCCTGCACATGTCTCCCTCCTGCACATGTCTCCCTCCTCCCCATGTCTCCCTCCTCTCGCACATGTCTCCCTCCTGCACATGTCTCCCTCCTCCCACACATGTCTCCCTCCTCCCGCACACGTCTCCCTCCTCCCTCCCGGGGCCACTCCCAGAGCGGCTGCGGGTCTGTTCTCTGGGGCATCGGGCCTGGAGCCTTCAGCTCCTCTGGCCAGTGATAGCTGGGGAACAGCTCAGGCCCACCCGAGAGGCACCTGTTCGCACCGGTTAGCACCGGGTGCTCCTCTTAGCCTTCTCCAGGGAGAAGAGCTGTAAGTGCCGGGGTGTGCTGGGGTGAGCGTTGACTCGGACTTCGCTGTGGGCTATGCAAAAAGCGAGTACACACGAGACCGTTTTCCTCAGCCTCCGTACGGAACGGCCAGGAGAGTCCTCGGATCCTCCCCAGGCCCTTCCTTGGAGTTTACGCTCTTCCGGTAAGCACTCCTGGCTCCAGTGGGTACGAGACCAGTGCTTTCCCCGACTGGCCAGCCCCTCCGAGCCGCTCCTCCCGGAAACGATACAGTGGCTTTGGGCTGCTTTCCCCACCCGTTCCCATGGAAACGGACCTCGCGCTGATGGAAAGGGGATGCACGTTTCAGAGACCTCGTTTAATATGGGACGTTATTTGATTGCAAACGAGCACACCCTCCTGACTTACAGACCGCCCTAAAAGCCACTGTTTCCGACGGACTGCGGGAAGGCTGTTTGATGTGTTTTCCTCCTCAAGCAGCATTGCCCTGCGTGGTAGCCACTCCCCCGTCTTGTCACCGGGTCTTCCCGCGGCCCCTCGGGCTTCTCTGTCCGCCCCTTTGTAAACGCCCTGCACACCCCCCCCACAGCAGGGCCGGGCCGGCTCCCTGGCCCGTTAGACAGTTTGACAATACAGGACACCCTGTAAACGCCCGTCTCATTTCCGCTGGGGCTTGTGCTGGCCCAGGAGAAATAAAATAACACCCTCTGCCAGATGCATCCGTTCGCACCTGGGAGCCTCCCTCCGAAGCTGCCTCGAGGCCCTTCTAAGGGAGGCCCCTTGTGAGGACCCGCCTCCGGGACGGACCGCTGTTCTGTGTGCGATCCTGCAGGCAGGCAGGCCCTGGCCGCGGAGGCTGGCGCAGGAGAGAAGGCCAGGCCCGAGGTGGGGGAGAGAACACATGGGAAGGCAGGCTGGCGTGAGCACTGCACACGGGCTCGCCGGCGTGCTCTCTGTGTTCTGCCGGGAGCTCCCGGCCGACAGTCCGGCAGGTGGGCTGCCTGGGTAGCCTGGTGGTTGCTAAGGAAACCGGAGTCCCATAGGCAGGCTCTGTCATCTCCCGTTTGTATGATTCAGACCAAGGAGAGCCATCGGGGTTTCATCGCAGACCCACCTCTCCTTGGGGTGTGTCGCTGGGAGAATCAGGTGTGGGGTTTTGTGCTCCGGGGGTCGGCGTCAGTCAGGGCGAAGGCCGCCCTGCCTCAGTCTGCTGGCCCATAATTGGATTCTTACAGCACTTCCCGTGTCACATTTTATTCCAAACCCGGTGCCACAGCAGTCACAGGTGACCTGTGACCATTGCAGATGAAGTAAACATTTCATTTTTTTAAATATATGTTCTATTGATTTTTTTACAGAGAGGAAGGGAGAGGGATAGTGAGAAACATCAATGAAAGAGAAACATCGATCAGCTGCCTCCTGCACACTCCCCACTGGGGATGTGCCCACAACCCAGGTACATGCCCTTGACCGGGATCGAACCCGGGACCCTTGAGTCTGCAGGTCGATGCTTTATCCATTGAGCCAAACTGGTTTCAGCTGAAGTAAACATTTTTTTTAAATATATATTTTATTGATTTTGTACAGATAGGAAGGGAGAGAGATAGTTAGAAACATCAATGAGAAAGTCATCGATCAGTTGCCTCTTGCACACCCCCTACTGGGGATATGCCCGCAACCAAGCTACATGCCCTTGACCGGGATCGAACCCGGGACCCTTGAGTCTGCAGGCCGATGCTTTATCCATTGAGCTAAACTGGTTTCGGCTGAAGTAAACATTTTAATTGAACTTTGATGCAGTACATACTTAAGGCTTTTTCATTTTGCGGTCTGTGAATTTAAAGGAACTGTGAGTGTCTATAAAAAGAGGGTGTGAACTTGTAGATTGTGGGGATGCTCAGAGGGACGAGTGCCCCTTGCCTCCTGCTTCCTGAAGACAGCGATAATCCACTCACAGCCTCACTGGACAGCCTGTCCGACGTCCCTCTGGGCCCCGGTGGGGCGGTTTTGAAGCTGAGACCTTTGCTGTCATAACCTAACACAAGGATGTGCACAGGTCCAGGGATCCCCAAGGCTCAGGGCTGAGCTGTTTATGCATCTTAATACTCAGGTTGAAAACCGACCTGGTGGCGGGGCAGTGACAGGCACGCCTCCCACCTGCAGTGTTGGCACAGGGGATGCCCAAGCACCCGACATGATCTCCTGGAGCAGGGAGACCGGCGTTGGCAAATCCACCCCCTTCTCATAAACGCAGTGAGGACAGCGTCATCACTCAGGAACTAGGGTTTGCAGAGGTTTGCTGCCACAGCTGACGTAACCGCCCACCCAGCCTCGGCTCTGCTGGGCCCAGACTGGAACCTGTGGCCGGTGTGAATGGTTTGCCTATGTTATGGGAATGCTCCCAAACATCCTGCCCCAGGGCCCATACCTGCGGGCACTAGCATGCCCGGCCTGCCCCTCCACAGTCTCCCAGGGCTTCAGAGACCATCTCCCCAGCTCCGGAGGATGCAGAGTGAAGGGAACTGTGGCTTACAAACCACAGGACATGAGGTTTGTTTACCGTTAGACAGAAAATAGAAACATTTGAGCCTGGAGGACCAAAATGCTGCGTTTTCATGTCTGAAGCTTACACACACATCAGCCGTGATGCCGGTGTGGGGCCCAGGCCGGGGGCACGTCCGTCCTCACAGCCCGCCCTGGATAGCAGGCCTGTGCCCACTCGCCCCACAGCTGTTCCCGCCCGTTCTTGGCAGTCCACCCGCCTGCACCGAGGACCGGACTGGCGAGGTGCTGGATCTCACAGTGCACCCCGGGAAAGGCTTCAGAAAGTTCTCCTTTTTCCCTAACATGTTTTTATTGATTTGAAAGAGGGAGAGAGAGAAACATCAAGGATGAGAGAATCGTTGATCGGCTGCTTCCTACACGCCCCCTGTAGAGGATCAAGCCTGGGCGTGTGCCCTTAACCGGAATCAAACCCAGAAATCCTTGGGTCCGTGGACCGACGCTCTATCCACTGAGCAATACCGGCTAGGGCAAGAGAGCTCCACTTTAAAAATGTTTAGGGCCCTAACCGATTGGGCTCAGTGGATAGAGCATAGGCCTACAGACTGAAGGGTCCCAGGTTCAATTCCTGTCAAAGGCATGTACCTTGGTTGTGGGCACATCCCCATTGGGGAGTGTGCAGGAGGCATTTGATTGATGTCTCTAACTATCCCTCTCCCTTCCTCTCTGTAAAAACTCAAAGTGTATTTTTTTTTTTTTTTAAAGTTTAGGATCC